AAATTCTTATTGAGGATGGGCAATCAACTTAGGGAATTTATATCAAAGAATACACTCTGGATTGTTAGATTAATGACTTCCAATAAAGTTTCAACTTTCTCCATAAAAAACTTTTGCAAATCTTCTGTTGTATTTTTGTTGCCACCATAATTGTTATTTTTTTAATTATAGCTTTTGTTTTTGTCTGTGGAGAGCAATAAAATTGATTTTTGTTTCCAGAACTTTATTACTCTTACTAACTCTACCAATGTATCTGCATGTTCTTTGGGGAGGAGGGGAGAGACAATAGGGCTATGCAGACAATAACATCCCTGTGAATAAGAATATTTATTTTCCTCATGAATTCGTATACTTTCTTTTTTAAAAAAATTGTCACTGCACTGGCTAGTACCTCCAATATAATGACTCCTTGTATTCTGATCTTGAAGGAAATGCTTTTAAAGTTTCATCATTAAGTAAGATGTCTGCTGTTGTTTTTCTTGGTGAAAGTCCTTTATTACCTTAAGAAAGTACTTTTTTATGCATTATTTTATTTTTCAAATGTATCTTATTGATTTTCCCCTTCATGTGTTGATGTGGTTATTTATACTGATTTTGTATTGTTAAAGAAACCCTGCATTCCAGAGATAAACTCAGTAATGATGCATAATCTTTTTTATTCAATGCTGAATTGACTTTGCTAACAGAATACTAGCAATTTAGAATTTTTCCATTGAGAGTCTTGAAGATTAGACAGTAATTTTTTTTCTTTTCTCTTTGCTTTTATATCAAAGTTATGCTAAACTCATTAAAAAATGGAAAATATTCTCTCTTCATTCTGTTTCTCGAATTTGGGGTATACTTGCCCTAAAGCTATTGAGACCAAGTATTTTCTTTGTAAGAAAGAATTTTAACTTTGAAGTATATTCTTTAACAACTTATAGAACCAACCAGACTTTTTTTTCCCTTATTCAGTCAGTTTTATTTGTATTTTCATCAAAATTTATTAATTTCTACTGTTTTCAATTTGACTGGGAGAAAGTTGTTCATAGTATCATATGCATGTGTCAATATATCATTTCTAATGTTTTATATTTGCTCTTTCAACCTTGACAGATATTTGTCAATGTTATTGGTCTTCTCAAAAAACTAAATAAAGCAATAAATTACTATGAAGTGAACAACCGTATAAATCATATAAAATACAGGTTAAGAAATATTAGTAGAATGCTGCCAGCAGTACATATAAGCTCTCATGTGCCCCTTCCTCATTTTACCCCATGGAGGTTAGACTATTTTCGTTTTTAGAGTAGTAATTTTCTTGCTTGCCCAAACTTTTATCAAATAACTCTGCAACCTTACACAATAAAGTAATACTTTGTCAATTTTTAAACCTTATATAAATAGAATAAAAAGTTCTATCTATTTTCTTTCACTCAATACTTTCAAACTTTATCCAGGCCATTGCATGTTCAGTTCATTCAATGCATGACTATAACATAGTATATTCATTCATTATAATATTGATACAAATTTCTAACTTTTCATTTTCAACCTATTATGTATAATGCAGCTAAGAACATTCTTTTGTACATGGATTCTGATATTCATGTACCTATTTTTTTTTAAATAAGTATCTGGGATAACAGTTGTTTGGTATTAAGGTATGCATATTTTAAACCTTATAGTTTAATGCCCAAGCATTTTGTAAAGTGATTATGCAATTTACACTCCAAAGAGCAGTGAAGGGACTTCTCTGCTTCCTATCTGTGCTAAGCAAATATGGTGCATGCGCAATGGTATCTTATTAGCATTTTCTGCATTATGGATGAGGAACATTCCTTAATAAGGTTGTTGGCCATTTGGATTTCTTCACTTGTAAAATGCCATTTTTTTCTACAGAGATGTCTGATTTCTCAGACTTTTAGTTGAGTATATATTCTGGATATGAGCCATTTATCAATTGCAAACCTCTACTCTGTGACTTTCACTCTCTTAATGATGTCTTTTCATGACTAGAAGTTCTTAATTTTAATGTAGATTTATCAACCTCTCCCACTATAATTAGCTTAAACAAGGTAACGTGTTTAAGCAATCTTTTCTAACCCTCAGATAAAAGATACTCTCATATTGTCTAGTAAAATCTTTATCATTTTACCTTTCATATTTAAGTCTATAATTCCCTTGAAATTCATTTTTGTATAGCATGTATAGAAGAAATTAATTTCCTTTTCTTCTGGTTTTAAAATAAAGATATCCATTTATCTCTGCACTATTTATTGAACAGACTATCTTTTCTCCAAAGTTTTAAAGTGCCACTTTGTCTATTTATAGATTTTCAATTACAATCCATTAATTTATTTTTATATCAATACACCAATACTTCCAACACCTCAATGTCCTGATGACTACAACTTTATAATAACCTTGTTTCTAATAAAGCCAGTCCTCTCACTTCCTCAACCGAGTGGTTATTCATAACTCATATATTTCCATATAAAATTGGAAAACAATCTGTCATGGTACACACAAACACATACTTTGTACTTTGGCTTTGTTTGAATCTACAATTCAATTTGAGGGAAACGTTGTACAAAAGCAAAGGAACTAATCCATGACTATGATATAATCTCTCCATTAAGGTCTTTAATTAAAGTAAATAAATTCCCATACCTGCCTCCTCAGAAATCTGTATGCAGGTCAAGAAGCAACCGTTAGAACCAGACATGGAACAGCAGACTGGCTCCAAATCGAGAAAGTATGTCAAGGCTGTATACTGTCACTCTGCTTATTTAACTTATATGCAGAGTATATCATGAGAAATGCTGGGCTGGATGAAGCACAAGCTGGAATCAAGACTGCTGGTAGAAATACCAATAACCTCATATATGCAGATGACACCACCATTATGATAGAAAGTGAAGAAGAACTGAAGAGCCTCTTGATGAAAGTGAAAGAGGAGACTGAAAAAGTTGGTTTAAAACTCAAACATTCAGAAAATTAAGATCATGGCATCTGGTCCCATCACTTCATGGCGAATAGATGGGGAAACAATGGAAACAATGAGACTTACTGATGCTTTTGAACTGTGGTGTTGGAGAAGAGTCTTGAGAGTCCCTTGGACTGCAAGGAGATCCAACCAGTGCATCATAAAGGAAATCAGTCCTGAATGTTCATTGGAAGGACTGATGCTGAAGCTGAAACTCCAATACTTTGACCACCTGATGCAAAAAACTGACTCCTCTGAAAAGACCCTGATGCTGGGAAAGATTGCAGGCAGGAGGAGAAGGCGACGACAGAGGATGAGATGGTTGGATGGTATCACCGACTCAATGGACAGGAATTTGAGCAAGCTTTGGGAGTTGATGGACAGGGAAGCCTGGCATGCTACAAGCAGTCCACAGGGTCACAAAGAGTTGGACATGACTGAGCAACTGAACTGACTGAAGATCTTTTACATCTTTTATTAGATTTACACTTAGGTATTTCAGTAGGCACTCTTCTCCTTTCTGATCACAAAGAAGATGTTGCCAAGGCTTCATCATTACGTAGGACATTCATTATAGTATTTGAGTAGATAACCTTTATCAGTTTAAGGATGTTCCATTCTACTCCTAATCTGCAAGAAGTCTGATCATAGCAGACAAATTTATCAAATGTTTTTCTGCCACTACAGAGGTAATATAGTTTTTCTCCCTTAGCCTATTAGGAAGATATACTGATAAATTATTTAAAATTAAAATAACCTTGTGTGCCTTGCATAAACCCAACTTAGTTATATTATTCTTTTAATATATTACAATATCTCATTTGTTAAAATTTGAAATATTACATGTATTTTTACAAATAAGACTCTTTATGACTCCATGGACTGTGGCCACCAGGTTCCTCTGTCTATGGGATATCTCAGGCAAGAATACTGGAGTGGGCTGCCATTTCCTTCTCCTAGGGATCTTTCCGACCCAAGGATCAAACCTGGGTCTCCCACATTGCAGGCAGATTCTTCACTGTTTACAGATTCCCGCCAGGGAAGCCCCAAATAAGATTAATGTTTCTTAAAATGTCCAAGGTTATCCATAACTCATAAAATAAGTTGGGAAGTTTCCTTCCTCTATTCTCTTTAAGAATTTGTAATTGGTATTAGTTCTTCATTAAATATTAAATAGCATTATCCAGTGAAGCCATCTGGCTCTGGTGATTCCTTTCTAGGAATAATTTTGAACGTGAATCCATTTCTTTAGTGTTTATAGGAACATTTATATGTGTTCTATTTCTTCCTATATCAGTATTAATAAGTTATATTTTTCTAGAAATATGTGCATGAGAATTATGGTATTCTGCTGTGGTAATGAGTTCCAGTTCGCTCATATTTCCCTGCATCCACACTCCTGGGTAATAGTACCTTTTCACACTGACTCTAAAGCTCCCTTTAAAGTTAAAAGTAACTACCTGCTATATTTTGCCAATGAACATCCAGTACATTTCCAACTTCGTGCCTTATCTCATGTCATTTCCTCTCCCTGGAAAACCCACATATTTGGGGGTAACAAGTTGCTGTTTAGTCACTAATTTGTGTTGTCCGACTCTATGCAACCCCACGGGCTGTAGCCGCCAGGCTCCTCTGTCCATGGAATTCTCCAGGCAAAAATACTGGAGTGGGTTGCCATTTCCCTCTCCAGGGGATCTTCCTGACCCAGGGACAGGACCTGTGTCTCCTGCACTGGCAGGCATATTCCTTACACTGAGTCACCCCAGGAAAGTCCAGAAATAATGCATACATGCTTATAAACACAAAATTTTATATAAACTATCATAGCATTCACTACTTTCATTCTGCAAAGCAGATTCCAGATTAAAGACTCCTAACTTACATACTGCCCAATATTAATAGAGGGAAGAATAAGCAAATAAATATGGAAACAAATACACAACAGAGCAAAGGTTGATAAAAGCATTCATACTGGCCTATGAAAATTTGTATAAAAGAAGTGTTTAAAATATGAAACATAAAATATACTTGAGTTTTAGGAATTTATTTACAAAGTTCTCCCTAATAAAACTGCTTTTAAAATATAGCAATAAAGGAGCATTCACTATTTAAAAGTGGTACATATGTGGCATAGAAAAATATCCATAGTCAGTTAAAGTATTATAACAGATAATTGAAAATTGTTAAATGACAAACATTTGCAGTACTCCCTAAACAGGTAGGAAATAACAATGCATTTATTCATAGGAACTTGATTATTTTGTACTACTATTGAAACCCTATTATGAAAGATAAAATCAGAGTTTGAAAAATATTTTACAACAGCAAGTAAGTGTATTTCAATTTTACATTTAATTATGAGGCCACAATAAAAATTTAACCATACACATATCTATGCATTTTACAGTAGATTAGCCAACTTAGTAATTATTTCATAAAGAGTATAAACCACTTACCACAATCACCTCATGGTCTTATCTTTCCAAATAAAATACCACACACTATCAAACTAAACCAAGTTACCAATGGCTAAAATCACTATAAAGTATACTGGCCCTGAAACAAGTATACATCAGTATCATGTTTGTGCAAAATATATATGATTTTTTAATCCTTTTGTCCTTATCTCAATTTGCAAGTAAATTCTGAAACCACCTCCTGTAACTGTTATTCTTGTCAATAGTGGCAAATCTTTCAAAATCCACATGCGATATCTTTATTTATAAAATAAACTGCAAAAGGAGCAGTTAAATAACTAAACAGAGTATGTGAACCCGGAACCCACTATTTAGAGATCTATGCAGGTTTTCATTTGTGATATCACTTCATTTCTAAACAAACTGAGATACATATTTATTTCCAAAAATTCATTCATGGACACTATACAAAGAGATTTACAGCAGTATTTGGCATCAACCAATAAAATTTATTTACTGTATCATGTGGCAAAGTTACTATTATCATGAATAACTTAAATGACTGGTCTTCAACTGGATTCAACAAAGAGAAAAATTACACCAAAATCAATATAACTTTTTACATGAATTAACTCAAAAAATGTCAGAGGTTAACCTTACTCTTTCAAGAAACAAATAAAATGGCATAGTTTAGTGTTACCTTCTTTCCAGCTTTCACCAAGTGTTAACATTAAGTACCATTTAAGTCAGTTTCTTATTTGAGTATGAGGTGCTTATAACTTTGCACAAATTAAGATTTTTTTTTAAGCTTCATATCAAATGAGTTGTAGATCTACTTAAAGTATGGCTTCTCCTTTCAAAGAAGGCAGGAAGACTGACAAGGGAGGGAGATGGGATGCCCTGTAAAGACAAATGTTTTATACTTAAATATTTTTTCTTTTAAGTAAGATATAGCTTAGCATCATACACACTATTTTTGCATTTTACAAATTATCATAACAAGTAAGACATCTGAAAATCTAAACTCTTTAAAGAAATAGAAACTTAAAATTAGGAGGGAAGGGTTGGGAGAACACATAGAACTGTTTTAGCATTCTGAAGAACGAGAAAAATGGATACACTGGTTTACTACATATTAACTCAAATGAAAGAGATAAATGCTTACTGCTAGTAGTGGTACTTCTGTAGATATTAATGATTTAGTGTTTCAGATGTCTTTTTAAAATTATAAATTAGAAGACAAATTTTTGAGGTTAAAAAGACAAACCACAATGGTTTCTTCTTAATCATAAGCAGAATTAAGAACAGTAAAATTACTTCATTGGAAATAACTTTCTAAATTAAAAGCCATACACTCTGAAAGAATTTTTATATTATGTGTGCAACCCATATTTACATGTGTGTGTGTGATTTTGCTTCATATATGACTGAGCAAAACAGCAGTGCTTCTGATAATAGAGATTACTAACATACTAAGCTGTCTAAACTTTATTATTTCAGAGTGTCAAAGTTAAATATCATCGGAGTTAATAACAAAGAAACAATACCAAAAAGTCAAGCGGGGATGTAAATCAAAACCAATTATTATGAAAAGTACTATTTTAACAGACATGAATGGTTAACTATTCTGTGGAGAAGGGAATGACAACCCACTCCAGTATTCTTGCCTGGAGAATTCCATGGACAGAGAGGAGCCTGGCGGGCCACAGTCCATGGGATCACAAAGAGAAGGACATGACTGAGCAACTAACACACACAAACTGAGAGCCAGCAAGGTAGCTGCTAAGTTCTCATCAAAGGTTTGGAGAGTTTAAAGAGCTGGGTTGGTAAAGTATTACCACTCAAGTGACAGCAAAGCGATGATTTAAGTAGATAGTATAAAAGTTTACATTTTCCTCGGGTAAAACCTTTATGATTCGCCATATTAACAGCATAAATTTTACACAAATGTCATAATTCTAAGATTAAGAATCATATTTGGAATATAAATCCACTTCATAGGACAATTACTAACATTTTAAAATAATTATTTCCATAAATAAGAAAATCTAATGGGACTGATTTTTTCAGGCCTTATGGGTAAATTATCTTGTAAAATAGTTTTATGTGCCAATAAACAAAGAAACTCCATTAAGCCTAAGTTGTTGGGATTTCAAAGCTTATAAAGTTGTGAATTCAAAAGTCCCCATTCACCTAATTAGTGATTCAGTGGAGAAAAATACTTTCTTTTTTCACAATAAATACAAATTTCAAATAGCTAATAAGCTCACATTAAACTTCATGAAGCTTGTTTCCATTACTGGTTGACATATCTCCTAATACTTGACAAATATCAAAGATGACTTGGATAGGACTTTTTTTGAAATTTGATAATTCAGAATTTCCTTCTAGCATCTCTGAAAAACTAGCTCATGAGGCAGAATGACGTACAGATCGAAACCAGGAGTTCTGAGAGCGCCCACCAGTAGAGTTTGAGCGCTGAACATAACCATGCTCAGTAAATCCAATTACATTGCTTGTGGAAACAGAATGGGTCATCTGTTAGAACAGAAATAGGCAACTGAGAAGAGGACAAGGATGTCTTAAAGATACTTTAGGTACTTATTTATATTATTCACATAAAACTGGTAAAGCCATAAGTAATAAACATTAATTTTCCAAAGATTTTCTATAAAATCCAATTATCTTTATTTGAAAAGCAGTAATATTTATAATAGTTACAAACAGATGAAGGAAATAAAAAAGGGATAGTGCATGGGGCTTCAGAAAGTTTACAATTTAATTTTAGTAAATGAATGCTTACTATACTTTGTCAATTTCAATACTTTTTTTCATTAACTAACTTCTTTGCAAAAATTTATATTATCAACCAAGTATGATTTCTCTTCCATTAGGTTAATCTTGATTACAAATCTGTATAAACATATTTATATTAAGCTATAACCTTTGATGTATATTAACTAAAGACTTAACTAGCTTTATAAAAAATAAGCTATCGAGCATTATGTGCCTTTTTTGTATACATTTTATATAATTAAAGGTAACCATTTATAAAACACCAAGGTGTTACCCTTGAGCACTTTGTGTATACTAACTTACTTAATCCTTACAACTACTACTTTAGATTTATTTTATAAACAGTAAAATTGAAACAGAAAGATCTTTAATAAGTTGACAAAAGTCATACAGCTAGTAAACAGCAGAACTGGGATCTGAACTTAGGAGTTTCAGAGTTCCTGCTCTTAACCACTACTCAAACTGCCTCTGAGAAAATAATCACATCATATATGTGAGATAGAGCGTGTGTATTTACCCTTTACAATAAAACCATAGGGTAAGTTACTCCTTTCTTTCATCTGCAAACTGGGGACAAGAGAAAACAGGAAACTTGCTAAAGGACATATAGCTAAGAAATGACAGTCACTTGTCTTTCTTAACCTTAGTAAGTTATATTAAAAATAATTTTTACAAAGGACAGATACATCACTATTTAGTGACAGTAATATATGTTAGAAATGCCTTTAATATTAATTAAATGTAAAATAATTCTGACACCATTGGGAATTTGGATTGCTCAGCAAACATTTAAAAATAAACACATGGATTTAGTACCCATAAAACCTTTTGATATTCACAACTTCAGCCATTATCTGTTCACAGACATAAAAGGAAATAAAACTCAGTCTCTGCTATATTATTGGAGCCCATCTATAAATAGAACTATCCTTATGTATGTCAGTAAAAGTGATAGGCTAGATTGAAACATGTTGCTTTCTTAGAGATTAACATCTCAATCCCAATAAAATTTCATATCAAATAATCTACACCTTAAGTAAGCCTCTAGTTCATTAAGTAAGGTTTTCTAAGTTATCTTAACCCAACAATGAGGTTAGATATAGCAAAAAAATTGATGAAGATATTAAGATTTCTACCTTTAAAAAGTCAACAAATTTATACCAACTCAGTAAATCTGAAGACATTTAGCCCATTAAATCAAAATCACTTACTGCTAATGACGATGTGCTAGCCAGACGACTCATGACGTGTTTCTCATTGCTAGAAGGACTTCTTCCCTCTGCTGAACCTTGGGACGCCATAAGAGCCCTGCGGAGAGCTCTTTTGGGAGTTTTGGAGAAAGAGAATGCTCTTGTAACCTAGAATTAAAACAAGATACAATCAATTTAACAGCCTTGATAAATCTAATATAATTGATTAGAACAACTATATGTAAAACAAAGCCAAATTCACATTAAAAGTTTTTCTATAAAAAATATGGAGGAATTTTTGTAGAAAAAGGATATGGCAGAACGAGAATATCTGGACAAAGCAGTGAGAAAATGTAGTACATTGTGGATTATGCCATCTTGCATTCATAGAGCACTAGTTCAGCAGGAGAAAGTAGGAGGGGAAATTTAGCATGAGAAGAAACCTTGGGGTTGTCTAATTCTGCTATAATTCAGTTGTGAGATCGCTGTTCCAAAGCCACTTAAACCTCAATTTAACTGAAAAAGGGTAGCACTTTATTTGAATCACCATTGTTAATGTTTATCTACTATATATCATTCATGTTAAATGCAGAGATACAATGATGATTAAAGTATGCAGCCTCCCCTCAAAGGCAAAGAAAACAACAATCAAAAGCTTATAAACTGAACAACAGACTCTGGCTGTAAATTTTACCTACAAAATTAAAACTCTAGTTCTACTTTTAAAAAACCTATTACCAACATTCTTGTGTAGTCCTGAACAACCTCCATAAGGTAAGGTAAGGTAAGATAAGTAGGAAAGTTATCTTAATCATTAGAAGTCTGAAACATAGTATGTTAAGGAACAGATCCCAGGTTTCCTGACTCTATTGTATGTCCTTTGCTGAAAAATATCTGAGGCAATTTCTAACAGGAATGCACACATACTTAAAACACCATCAGAAATATCAAAGTAACTAGAATGGGAAGGGTAAAAGCTGTTACAGTTGCTGTGCCGAAGAATTCGCTAAGCTTATCTATCATCTCTGCAGGCCATTTCCTAAGACCAAAAAACAACTCTGTTTTATGTACTGCCTTCACACTGACATCTATGGCTACATTATTTTAATATACTCTGAAAAATACATTTTGGAGATACGGTGAATAATAAAGTCACTGAGATTTACCTTTTTTGAAGTCTTTTTTATTGCTCTAGATGCTCTACTCAGTGTACTGTCCATATCTTTTGTATTTACTTCAAAGGATTCTGGATCAGCAGTGTAAATAAGATTCTCCTGTTGAAAATTAATATTAATTTTTAAAATAATAAAACTACACAGCTGTTCCTAAAATCGAACCTGTAAGAACTTATATGCACACACGGGTGCTTATATAAATCAAACTACTCAAGACTTTTGCTGTATTTGACATAATTTCTACTCTAAAATTTATTTATGGGCTCATAAAGGATATAACAGAAGGACAAAAACTGATTAAAAAAATCAGACATTTTTATATTTTTTACAATGTATGTGTGAGTATAGAAATATTTTCTCTTCCACATGGCAAAAGTTCTCAAAAGACAAGACACCAACTCAGGGCATTTTAAAATGTACTATTTTAAATGCAGGAGAGAGTTCAACTGAAGTCCCTGAATATCTGAATTTATAAACATTTATAAACATTTTTTAGTAACACAACTGGGAAGAATTTTGTGGCTTAAAACAGTATAAATTAGGATATAGATTAAATGTTTGCTGCCACCTTGTGGTTAATTTTACTTTATGAAATACTTCCATTAATTGTTTATATTCCAGTTCTAGAATTACTAGCCATCCTGTGGCTAGTAATTTTATTTTCAGCATTTTTCCATTAACTGTTTACACTTCAGAATCATAGTTATAAATTTAGAAAAGACTGCAAAAGCCATCTAGTTGGACACTGTGATAAATTTAGGAATAATCTCTATAGTAGGAAATCACTATACTGCAGAGATCCATTTTATATATGGATACATAAGACTATGAGAAAAAATTCTTCCTTATAATGAACAAGTTTTTGGCTTCACAAAAAGCTGTCTCCATTATTTTCCTAGCCAGCACTCTGTTGTATGCACTAGTACTGTATTTCTTTCAATGAACCTTTGTGTGGAGCAACACTTTATTTATAACAATATATTCTTGGCCCACAGAAATTTAAAAAAAAAAACAACAACAACAAGGACCAGAGCAAGATGATGCAATAGAAGGACATGGAACTCACCTCCTCCCACAGACACATCTGTATGTAGAATAAAACTCACAGAATACCTGCTAAATACTGGCAGAAGAGCTCATAAAACCAAAATGCAAGAAAGATCACCACATAACAGGGTAGGAGAAAAGAAAGAAAAGGGGAATTGGGACAGGATCTGTACCCCTGGGAGGGAGCTATGAAAGAGGAAATGTTCCTTGACACGGGAAAATGCTTCACCAGCAGGGGAGATCAGTGTGGAGACAGAGAGCTCCAGAGGCTCGGGAGAGAACACGGCAAGTGGTCTGCAACAAGTAGAGCAGAGGGAGGCCCGCACTCAGGACCCAGGCCAGCTCACTGCAGTCCTCGGCCTGAGGGCACGTCTGCTGGCGACACAGGTGCTCAGCTGTGTCCAACTCTTTGCAACCCTTTGGACTACAGCTCACCAGGCTCCTTTGTCCATGGGATTTTCCAGGCAAGGATACTGGAGTAGGTTGTCATTTCCTTCTTGAGCGATTTTCCTGAACCAGGGACTGAACCCACGTCTCCTTTATTGCAGGTGGATCCTTTACCTTCTGAGCCATCTGAGAAGGTTAGGTGCTAAAACCTGGGCTTCAGAGGACAGACCTGGGGGGAAGACTGGAGTTGTCTGCATGAAGACTGCCTGAAGGGGCTTGGAGTGTGATCCAAGCTGCAATCTGCTGCATATGCAAAAAGGAGACCAGATCGGCCACTGAAGCCCCACTGTTAACCTGCAAGATCAAAGGAAGGGCGGGGCACAGAATAGCAGCCTCATTCTCAGTGCGCTCACAACAGGCCCAGCTGCTCATTCACAGAGCCAGGCTGCAGTCCTAGCCAACTGCCAGTGGCCCTACAACTTAGAAAGCACAGCTGAAACCTTAATGTCCCCACGGCTTTGCTATCCATGAATTTAAGTGCCTGAGATGGTTGGTAAACTCAGTGCCCGTAGGACACTGGTGTGGATTACTGTGCTTCTGTGGCTGGGGCAGGTCTGGAGACAGGAGGCGCTGCTGGTGCTCACACACAGAGGCAGGCCGAGGGTCTGGGCTGACTCAGCAGCTCCTACAGCCAAGGCGGGTCCAGGTGCTCAGCCCAGCCCTGGTGGTCCCAGTGCCTGACCTCAGGAGTTGTGCCAACAGATCTGTCCTAGTAGCTTTGTGAGTAGAAGACCGGAGGGTTCCCAGAGCTAACTATCTAAATCTCCACAGCTGGGGTGGGACCAAGGGGTATGCCAAAAACTGTACTCTGTGAACCAGCACAATAGTGAGAGGCAAAATCACAGAGTGCACTTTCCCGTAGACAAGTCCTTCCCCAATATTCACTGGGTGGCATCTCTCCCAGTGGGAGCATTCCAGTCCTATCTACCTCACACTGTAGAGGGCATCTATCCAAAAGGGGGCAGACCCTGCCCCAGACAGAGTTGTAACAACCACAGAGCAAAGAGGAGGCTACACTCAATATCCAGCACAGGCTCTGGTCATCGTGACAACAATCACGCCCTTATCAAGGGGATAATGGATAACACGCAGAGAGAAAACACATCGCAGGCATCCATACTAAAAAGTCTTTGTACAAAAATATTACACTCATTAAGGCTACACAGCGACAGTCCCTTAAAAAACCACCCTTGCAGACCATGGTAGATAACTGTTTCTCCTTAATTCACAGACTCAGAATAGAAGTAAAATGAAGAAGAGGAACCACACAATTAAAAGACCAAGAGAATTCCCCTGAAAGAACAGATGTCTCCAGTCTACCAGATCCTGAGTCCAAAAACGAGATGATGAAAATAATGAAGGTGTTAAGAAATGATATGGATAGAAATAGAGATTACTATAAAAAAAACACATATATATACAAAGAGGAGTCAATTAAAAGTAGAAAACTCATTTGCTGAGACAAAAGCTGAACTAAAGGCAATCAACAGCAAACTGGATAATGAAGAACTAGTAAGTGATCTGGAAGATAGAATAATGGAAATTACCAAACTAGAACAGTAGACAGAAATACAAATTTAAAAATATATATATAGAAGACCTATGGAATAATATAAAGTATCCAGATCTGTGCATAATAGGAATCTCAGAAGGAAAACAAACAGAAACAGGAAATTAAAAATGTATTTGAAGAAATTATGGCTGAAAATGTCCCAAATCTAAGGAAGGAAACGGAAACCCATGTATAAGAAGGACAGAGGGTCCTAAACAAGATGAACCCAAACAGACCTACAACAAGATATACTATAACTAAAATGGCAAAAGTTAAAGATATAAAGAGGATTCTAAAGGCAGCAAGAGAAAAAAAAGAGTTAATTACAAAGGACTCCTCCCACCATGAGGCTGTCAACTGATTTCTCTATCTTCAGAAACACTGAAGGCCAGAAGGGAGTGGCAGGATATATTCACTCAAAGTCTTAAAAGGGAATAGCCTGCAGCCCAGGACACTCTATACAGCAAGATTATCACTTAGAATAGAGAGAGATAAAGAACTTCTCAGACAAGCAAAAACTAAAAAGAATAGAGCAATATTAAACTTATCTTAAAAGGAGTTTTCAAAGGTTTCTCTAAATAGAATAAAGAAAAAAAAATCTACACAAAAGAGAAAATCACAATTGCAAAGAAAATCAAGAGAAAATCACAATTGGGAAGAAAATCACTTACATAAGCAAGTACAAAAATTTTTTAAATAAAATATTTTTTTCTGAAAATAAGGATAACTACAACTAACACCAAAAAAGTAAATACAAAGATGTAAAAGAGGACATCAAAATCATAAAATGTGGGGAAAGAGAGTATAAAAATGTAGAGTTTTTTCTTTTAAAGAATGTGTTTGAGCCTATATGACTATCAGTCTAGCGCAAGTCAATATAGCTGTGGGTTAACACACCTGACAGCCAGGGTAACCACAAATCAAAACCATGTAACAGGTTCACAAAAAGTAAAAGAAAAGAAAAAAGTATAATACAAAAGAAAACCATCAAATGAAAACAGGAAAAACAGAAAGGAACAAAGAAGAAATATAAACTCAACTGGAAAATAAGGCTTAAAAATGGAAATAAATACATATTTATCAATAATTACCTTAAATGTCAATGGACTAAACACTCTAATAAAAAGACAGTGGCAGACTGGATTCAAAAAAAAAAAAAAAGAGCCTACAACCTGCTGCCTGTAAGAAACCTACCTTAGGGCCAATGACAAACAGATTGAAAGTGATGAGACTGAAAAAGATATTTCATGCAAATGGAAATGACAACAAAGCAGATCTAGCAACATGCATTCCAGACAGACTGTAAAACAAAAGTCATAATGATAAAAAAGGACACTCTATAATGATAAAAGGGTCAATATAAGATGAAGATATTACACACATTTAATACTTATGCAATATGCAACATATGCAATATACGAGTACCTAAATACAAAAAGCAAGTATTAACAGACATAAAGGAAGAAACTGACAGAAATAAAACAGTAAAAGACTTTAACATCTCATTCACATCAATAGATACACCTTCCAGACAAAATGAAAAAAGCAGCAGAGATCTTAAATGATACAATAAAAAGGTAAGGCTTTATTGATATTTTCAGGACATTACATCAAAAAAACCAGAATACATTCTTTATAAGTGCACACAGATCAATCTCTAGGATTGACCACATACTAGGACACAAAACAAGACAGAACAAATTTAAGAGGACAGAAATTATTTCAAGCATCTTTTCTGATCATAATAGCATGAAACTAGAAGTCAACTTTAGAAAGAGAGGGAGAAAAAAAAAGGTTATATGGAAACTAAAAAGCATGTTACTAAAAAAAAAGAAATCAAAGAGTCAATGATGGAATCAAAGAGGAAATCAGAAGACACCTTGAAACTACTATATACTCTTGACAAAGGAGGCAAGAGTACAGAATTGAGGGGAAAAAAGTCTCTTCAGTGTGGTGTTGGAAAAGCTGCATATAAATCAAGGAAGTCAGAACAGTCTCACACCATACATACACTCAATAAACACCATTCTCTTCTCCAGGAGATCTTCCCAATCCAGGGATTGAACCTGGGTCTCCTGCATTGCAGACAGATTCTTTACCATCTGAGCCACCAGGGAAGCCCCAAATATATGACATGACACCATAAAACTCCTAGAAGACAACATAGGCAAAACATTCTCTGACATAAAAGTCCAACTGTTTCTTAGATCAGTCTCCCAAGGCTACAGAAATAAAAGCAAAAACAAGCAAATGGGACCTAATAAACTTAAAAGCTTTTCCACAGTAAAGGAAACCACAAAAAAGAAAAAGTCTACAGAATGGGAGAAAACATTTGCAAACAATGTGCCCAACAAGGGATTAATTTCCAAAATATACTAGCAGCTCATACAACTTAATAACAAGACACAACTTAATCAATAACTAAACAAAGACCTAAATAAACACTTCTCCAAAGACATACAGATGGATAGCAGAACATGAAAAGATGCTCAACTGATGTTTTCTAATAACTAGAAAAATGAAAATCAAAACTACAAAAAGGTACCGCCTCACACCAGAAGGAATGGCCATCATTAAAAAGTCTACAAATAACAAAGGCAGAGAGGGTGTGGAGAAAAGTGAAGCCTTCTACACTGTTGGTTGGAATGAAAACTGATGCAACCACTATAAAAACAGTTCCTTAAAACCCTGAAAATAAAAAAACAATAAAAACTAACAAACAAAACCAAAAACACCTTAAGATAGAGTTGCCATATGACTCAACAATCCCATTCCCAGGCATATATCCAGAGAAAACTATAATTCAAAAACATACATGCACCCCAATGTTTATAGCAGCACAATTTACAAATAACAGTAAATTTTACAGCAGCACAACTTACAATTTCCAAATCACGGAAGCAACATGATAGATGAATGGATAAAGAAGATGTAGAATAGATAACACAATGGAATACTACTCAGCCATAAAAAAAAGAGTTTAAGAATGCCATGCAGTAACATAGATGGACCTGAGAATATCATGGGTTTCCCAGGTGGAACTAATGGTAAAGAATCCACCCACCAATGCAGGAGACGCAAGTTTGATCCCTGGGTTGGGAAGAGCCCCTGAGGTAGGAAATCACACCCCACTCCAGTATTCTGGCCTGGGAAACCCCCGAATGGGCTACAGTTCATGAGGCCACTAAGAGTTGGACATGAATGACTGAGCACACACATGCACACACACACAAAGATTATATCATATTAAGTGAAGTAAATCACAAAGAGAGAGAAACACTATATAATATCACTTATATGTGGAATCTAAAATATGACACTAATTAAATTATTTATAAAACAGAAACAGACTCACAGACATAGAAAACTTAAGAACTTATCATTACCAAAGGGGAAAAGGTGTGGGGGAGGAATAAATTAGGATTAGCAGATACAAACTACTATATATAAAATGGATAAACAACAAGGTCCTACTGTACAGCACAGGGAATTATATTCAGTATCTTATAATAAACCATAATGGAAAAGAATATATGTATAACTGAATCACTTGGCTATATACCAGAAACTAACACAACACTGTAAATAAACTAGACTTCAATTAAAAAAAATTTTTTTAAGTTTCTTAGTTTTTCTAAAGTTATGTAAATATCCTTAATCAAGTATTTATAAACAATAATAATTATACCTCAATGTCTTTGAAGATCAGATTTAACTTTAATAAACATTCGTTTCCCACAGGAAATGTCCAAGGCAATCTACTACACTGAAAAGGGTCATCTATTTATACATTCTCCTCCATCTAATGTATCATTTGTGCAAATATGAAGGGATCAATATCTATCACATATCCCTCCCATATATGATGAAGAAATCAAATTATCTTTTAATGGACCTAGACTTCATCCAAGATCTATCACAAGCTACCTGATTTTGATTTCCTCATATATGTTCATTTTAATCTGTACAGGATAAAAGTGATTATATATTTACAATGGCTTTTAAGAGACTGCACTGATAAAACTGGATTGGCAGCTTGCCTGACAGGAAAAGCCACTTGCTACAGCTCACCACATTGCTCTCAGTAAGGACAACAGGACAACAGAACAAAACATTCTCTCACAAACAGCAAAATCAAAGCGCCTAAATGAACATGCAAGCTCCAAAAGCTTCATTAAAGCAGAGTCACAGGAGTTCTAAGGCTGCAAGGGCCTATCTGTAAGCCAGGGATTCAAAAAAAATGCTGCATGTGTCTATACATTTAAATATCTTTTCCAAAACAACTTTTAAATCAGCTTTCCTCAATAAACACAAAACGAAAACTCTCCTGTAATCATAATTAACAAGTCACTAGAAATATACAGGTTTAGGATGTACACTACCATGGAGTTTATAAACCTTCCTTACAATAGTGGTTTAAGAACTTACAGCATCTGCTTTACAAATGGTGTTGGCTACATGTCGACATAGCATCTTTAGCCAGTTTTCTTTTGGAAGTTCCTCTGATGTCATCTGGAAACTGAGCAGCACATTTGCCTGCTCTGTTGGTGGCCTCACAAGCAATGCAAAAGCATTATGGCAATCTAGGGTTCCAGAATAATCACAAACACTACATGTTACTCCTTGGAAAATGACAGATATAACACAAGTTTAGTTCCTTCAGAGCAAGAAAATTCCACTGAATTATCTCTTCTCTATCCAGTAAATTATCTCTGTCTCTATCTTTGCTGTTCCCTTAGTTTTTAACTGGACCAAGAGCAGCATCATATTATGCTGAAACATTGGAAAGAATAATACATACCATGTGAGGAACCAACAACAATAATTCAATGTTGTTAGGTAAGCAGTATTTTCCATAACATTTAATATTTCCTTTAATGAAGCTTTAAAAAATTAGATCATTTCTTAGAATTCTAGATTTAAGTTTTAAAGTGACACTTTAAGAATAATTCAATAATTCAACCTACTTAAATCAATGAAAGAAATAAAATACTCAAATATTAAAACTGTTACAAAAGATTTTCTGATCAAGATGCTAAAACAGAACCTATTTTAAACAATGAAGTCTTCCATAATTATAATCCAAAAAATATAGACGATATAAGTAAATGCTCTATGGAGCCCTTAATAAATCCAGAATTTGACAACTGAGTAATGAGAGCAATATAAGCTGCTATTCAAGTTTTCTTTGTTTCTCATAAATTGAAAGCTTTCCTTCATTCGAGGATAGGATCACTGATAGAACCAGCTTACACTGTAAAAATATATGCCTAAACAAGCAAAATATTGCCAAGCATACATATTATTAGTTACTATTTTAAAAAATGATATTGCTTATGGTAGGTATAAACTTTTGCCAATCTCAAACCTTCAAAGAACCCTCTCTTAACATTCCCAAAGTTTAGAGTAAAAGCTTTCCTTAATATACATGAGCCCATATTGAGTCTACCATAGTTACTTTGGGTATATTTACTCATGCATATCTATTTCTGGTGATATCCTGAATGTATCCCTCACAATGCAGCCACTGGCAACAGGAAATGTTATAAGACGTGGATGCACAGGTATTACACAACAACTGCTTTTGGATTCTGAAGGAATAAGTTTTGGTGTGGGAATGGGGAAAATGGGCACTATTTTAACCCATGTAACCATTTAAAAGCTCTTTGTATCTTAAGAAATGAAGATATTCTATAGAATGAAACAGTACTTTCTTTTGAAAAAAATTAAAAATCAAATCAGTTCCTAGAAATGTAGTGGGATAAAAGTAAAGAACAACTACTTTGCCAGAACTAATCAACAATCTTGAAAAATACTTTACCAGTTTAAAAATATACATATAAGGGAATTAAACCTTCAATGAATATAAACTATTTTTATTTAGCCAACAGTTTATACAATGACCATACCTTCTGTCTCTCGTATGTCTAGCACCTTCTTAATTTGAGAAAGAGGCATTAGATGAATATGCTTAAGAGAAGCTGGGGGTCGGGTCTGGCCATGAGGACTCCTAAAAGTACCAATAACCTTGTGTCGTTTTCTTGCTATCTGATTATTGGGGGGAAAAAAAAAGTTGATGTCAGTAACAAAAACAAACACAAAATGCTTAAAAATAAAATGGCACTAGTCACATAAATCTATATGCAGCTCATTTAAGTATCAGTCATTACAAAATTATTATCTGTAAGTAGCATAGTTACTATGTGACAAATTCATACATGTAACTACGTAATAGAATTGTTCACATTCAAATGAAAAGAGCTCAAAAGTCAGGAAAACAGATCTATGGAAAAGATCCCAGAGGTGTGAAAGAACTTAGAAGCATTGTGAGAAGTAATGGGATCAAAGGATGATGGAATCTTCAATAAAAGGCCTTGAATTCGGAAAGGAGAATAGTTGCTCTGGGATCACTGCCTTGGGTTCAAAAAAATAACTGACTTCAGTTTAAGAACAGAATTCACAATTATCTCAGATCCCATGCAAGAAACTGAGGATAAAGGAGCGAATAATACAGAATTGGTTCTGGTTCTCATGACACTTACATACTATTGAGAAATAAGAAAGTCAAAGTAACAGTATAAATCAGTGCAAATTATAAAGTCAAGGTGCTGATATAACTTTAATTAAACTGGGAACTCACCAAAGGGAAAGACAGGTAAAGTATTGCTGGAGAAGACAGGAGCAAAATCAGAAAGGATCCTGTGACTCATGATGTACATAAGTTCTGAGAATTTTATAAGGTCTTAAAATTTTTCATTTCCATGAAATCATAGTATATTATTTTGTCCTTTTTAAAAAAATATCTCTTGGGCTTATGAAAGTGAAAGTCGCTCAGTCATGTCCGACTCTGTGACCCCTTGGACTATAAAGTCCATGGAATTCTCCAGGCCAGAATACTGGAGTAGGTAGCCTTTCTCTTCTCCAGGGAATCTTCCCAACCCAGGGATCAAACCCAGGTCTCCCGCATTGCAAGCGGATTCTTTACCATTTGGGCTTATAATCATTAACTAAAAGACACTAACACAAAATAATTTAGATAAAGTTACTTAATGAATTGAGATTGATTGGTCATATTCATCATGATGAATATGACAAAGTAAGGCTGAAATATGTACTATCTGTGTTGGTTAATGAAAAAAGATCAAAAGGCAGTATCAAATTCACATTGATGCAGAAATATGACACAGATCTATGATAGATACCAAATATTAAAAGCCCATTTACATTAATATGGTGAAAAAAAGCAATTCTTTAATTTCCACTATAATATTGAATGTACTTTTAATTTAGCTAAGTAAAATAAAAAATTTTAAGGCTTATTTTAAAAAGGAAAAACAATGACAAGTATTAATACTGATGATACAAATGCTAGTCCATCAAGGTAAGAACTCAAGATATAGATACATCACCTGTCATGTCTAAGTGAAGTCAGTTCAGATCTTATTCATTTTAAATGTTTCTAACACTTACCATTCTCTTCATTCCAAATCTGCTCTAAGTTTTGGTGTTTTTTTAAAAAAAACAAACAAACAAGCTAAAGAATAAGAGCTTATAAATCTAAAGATCGAAAATTTGGGCTCCAAATTTAATGTTAGAAATAGAACTGTTACAGTTAATGTGATTTTGACATGAAGACTAACAGAGAGTAGGAAAAAAAAGGCACTGAATTCAGGAAGGATGAAGAAAGTGAGAGGCCAAGCTATGAGATAACAGACTTGGAGGCTACAAGGAATGACCAACGGCACGAATTAAAGTGGAAGGAAGTCAACAAGCCAGTTGTAGAAGACACCACAAAAATTGAAGGGGAAGTAAAATAAAAAAATTTAAAGTAAGCCACAACTCTCCAAGGATTAAAGAGGATAAAGACCCGGGTTCAACCCCTGGGTTGGGAAGATCCCCTGGAGAACGGAATGGCTACCCACTCCAGTATTCTTGCTTGGAGAATTCTATGGATGGGGAGCCCGGTGGGCTACGGTTTCATTGGCAGGGATTTATAATTCATTATATTAAATAATCAAGTAATGCCCTTCTTCAACAAAATATGGATTTCTCTTCTGGGAAAATGTACTTAATTTTAAAAAGAACTCATACTTATTTTGTAAATCTTAAAGAAATATACATACATACAAGAAGTTCCTAAAATTCTTGATCTACGCATTTATTTGCATGGAAATAAACTAAATTTTCATTTTGACATGGATTTGAACTTATGAAAAATTATCAGACTTCTTAATATTAGGTCTTCTCCTAAAAGCATTCAATTTATAGCATTAAACCAACAAGTGGTTTCATCAAAAAAGTGATTAAAATTCACTTTACTTTAAACTTCTTAAATCAACTAATGTAATTAAAACTTATTGTTTCAATCAAAGCTTAGTTTTAACAATTCAATGAAGTCACACAAAACAGCAGTGTTATTACCCTGTACGAAGGACAACTTTACCTCCAGGCAGTCATTGAAGAGGAAGAGAGTTACTTGTTCTCCTCTGTCACAGGGGTGCTCACCTAGAGAAACTGTTTCAACTCGCTGAACTAAACTTCGGTGAGAAGATAAAAGATTAGCCTGAATAGATTGAAAATATTAATAAAAGAAATTACTTCATGGTAAATAATTTTTAAAGTTATAATTAAAAAGAAAGTTGTGCCAAGTTTCTGTTTACATGATAACTGGCAGAATCTAAATACAGCTGACCTTGAACAACACAGGTTTGAGCTGCACTGGTCCACTTATACAGTTTTTGTTTTCTTTAGTAAATAAGTACTACAGTATTACATGACCCATGATTGGTTGAATCCACGAATACAAAAGCACAGAAACAAGAGTGCCAACAATAAAGTTATATGCAGATTTTCTACTGCTCTGGGCAGGGGGTTGGTGCCCTTAACTCCCAGTAGTTCAAGGGTCAACTATGACAAAAAGAAAATAAGCCGACAATCATCAAAAATGAATACTTACTGGACATCCATCTACCTCATAAACAACATCGAAAATTTGCTTTTGGGCTTCTGTTTTTCTCTTGTCCTCATTAATATGGCTGAAAATGAATAAAGTTATTTTTAAAACAACAGACTATAAAAACTGTATATATACACATCTTGTGTCACACACACACACACACAATCCCTCCATGTGAATATATCTTAATCTTGATAATCATACCAGTTATTATATTCCCTAAAAGTATCCCACTACATTAAAAAAATTTTCATAGAATCCCTCAGAAAAGTAAGTTTTGCTTTACTTCTTACTACATTCTCTCTCTCTCACTTTAAACTATATTCATTATACACTTCCTAAAATACATTACACTGGTATAAACTGCAGGTTCAGAAGTTCTAAGTTCAGGTAAGGTTTTATGCAAATCATTCCCAAATCATATGCTAATCATTTCACTGAAATAAAAATTAAGACTATTGTTTCCAGACAAGATGGAATAAGAGGAAAAATATATACTTTGCCTGAAAACAACTAAAAAACCCCCCAGCAAAGTATAAAGAAAGAGGCTTTTCAAGTCACCTCAAGTCAATGTCTCAAACAATGCAAGCCTAATTATATCCTATCTACAAAAGATACATTTTACATCAAAGACATGAATAGACTAAAAGTAAAATAATGAAAATATCCAATAAGAGCACAATATATATGGTACCTTCACCAGGTTAAGCCATAAAATAAGCCTCAGGAAGTTTAAAAGGAATGAAATAATACAAAGTATATTTTCTATAAATGGTGAAGTGAAATTAGAAAATCAGTATCAAAAGGAAACTTCAAAAATTCACAAATATGTGGTAATTAAACAACAAACTCCTGAACAACCAATAGGTCAAGATGTAATCACAAGGGAAATCAGAAAACAGTTTCAGGTAAGAACAAAAAGCAAGAACATGACTAAAGCAGTTTTTAAAGGGAAATTTACAGCTATAAAAGTAAACAATTAAAAAAATAAGCTCAAATCAATATCCTAATCTTCTACTTTAACACACTGGGGGTGTGGGGGGGAGGTAAGAGCAAGCTAAATCTAAAGCATGCAGGAAAAAGGAAATCAAAAGTTATGAACTAGAGACTATAAAAATAATAGAAAAAGATCAACAAAATTAAAAGCAGCTTTCTTTTATGAAAATATGTTAACACTGACTGCATAATTCACAGTTTGTAGAAAGGATCAAGGTAAAGAATGTGTAAGTTAAACCACCAAGTGTTGAAAAACACTACTATCCTGATCCCAAAACAACAAACCAAAAGCATGATGGTTGGCTGATCAACATATAAAATACAAGCATAAGCAAAAACCAAAATATGCATAATGCTTTCAGTAGCAACAGAAGCTCATATCCATTAATTTGGGCATTATTCTACTCCTGGACCCTAGAGCTGGTAACTTCTATCTAGGAGGTCCTTACAAGTATTTTAAGAAACTCTATTTCAGGACTTCCATGGAGGCAGTGGTTGAGGATCTGCCTGCCAATGCAGGGACCACAGGTTTGATCCCTGTTCTGGGAAGATTCCACGTGCCAAGGAGCAAGTGAGCCTGGGCGCCACAAATGCTGAGCCCACACACTGGAACTACTGAAGCCTGCATGCCTGGAGCCAACAAGAGAAGCCACTGCAGTGAGGAGCCTGCACATTGCAGCGGGGAGCAGTCCCTGCTCTTTGCAACCAGACAAAGCTTGAATGCAGCAGCTAAGGCCTCGTGCAGCCAAACAAGGAATCCAGGTGCTAGGTTTTAGATTTTTTTTTTTTAAAAGAAACTATATATCATACAAAAGACCTCATGGAAAAAAAAAAAAAAGACCTCATGGAATCTCAGAAGCTATTTAATTAAATCGACTGAATATGCTTATATGTAAAGTTCAAAAAGGTGCTATATTCTCATCCTTAGAAAGCAAAACAATTAACAGCAATAGAGCTTTTAATTCTGATCGTATTAGTCAGAAAAAATTTCTGATCAATGCTGTCTCCAAGTTAGACCTACAGTAAGCAGCTTAAGTTTAATAATCAATTTCCCCTAGTAAATTTCATTGAGTTTGTACTTTGAACACATCTCCAACAAACCCTACCAATTTAAGTCCACAGAATTCAAAGTAAGAAAAAAAAAGTCAAAACTAATGTGAAAAACATATTAACATTTTCATTTCATCATGGTCAAATTCCCAAGTTCCATTTGGGTAGTTAATAAGAATATGAAGACAAAACCAAGCTAAGACAGGAAATATATAAAGAAAATGTCTATTGGTGCATTTATAACATTTTCAAATTTCTAAACCACTGTTACCCTCTACATAATAGTATACATTCACAAGTATGTTTTTGATTAATCACATCTTAACAATACTTCTAACATTTTAATATGTGACTACACTACTAAAAATAATTTAGATACTATTTTACAGAATTTTGTTATTGATCTTTTGCTATTCACAATTCTGTTTCACCAATTCCACTGTAAATCTAAGGAATAACAAAAAAACTGCAATAATGTACTTACGTCATTACTTCCTTTAGTGATCCAATAGCTTTTTCTAGAGTGCTTTTGTCAGGATTTTCTTCAGATGTGTGCTTCTTAAGATCTGTAATATTTTATCAAATATTTTCTCTATGATTAAAAGAAATTAAATGGTTTTCCAACTATGACTTAAAAATGCTGTCCACTGTGACAGAGTTTAATTTAAAAAAAGAGTATCTAACTTTTCCTTTTAAAAAAGAGTTTTTATACAATGTTCCCTTAAGAACGAGTTTCCCAGGCAGTGCTAGTGGTAAACAATCCACTTGCCAAAACAAGAGACAATAAGAGATGTGGGTTCAATCCCTGGGTCGGGAAGATCCCCTGGAGAAATGGCACCCCACTCCAGTATTCCTGCTGGGAGAATCCCAAGGACAGAGGAGCCTGGTGGGCCACACTCCACAGGGTTGCAAAGAGTTGGTCACGACTGAGTATCTGAGCATCCTTAAGAGCTCTCTTCTTAAATGTATTAAATAAGTTTCCACATTTTTTCACTGAATAAATTTTCCGAATATGTACCAGATTTTCTTTCACTATTTCAATTCCCTTCTAGTAAAGTTTGATGACTCCTAAATTCTTCAAACTCTCTCTGAATTCATGATCCTCAGTTAACTAAGAAGTCATTATACATGCTATATTTCATAGTGGGGCCCACGGCTCCATCACAGAGAGCAGCCGGTGTGAAGGGAAGGTTTTGTTTAGTTTATATTCAATGAGGTGCTTAGTCTTTGACTCTTCTTACCCAAGTTGCTTATAATGTTCTACCCAATGGTTCCCTATATCTTCCCCCACCCACCAAATCTTTTAAGTGGAATAATAGAAGAAAGGCTAAGAAACCAAGTTCATTTTAGTCATGACAACATTTGATGGATTGCTGTAAGTACTTAATAAAACAACAATGAAGATAAATAAAAAAAGAAATAGCCTATTTTGTAAAGTTTAAAAGGTTGCATATTCATAAATTTTCCTTGTAATCTGTAAAATAGAATAGTTTTTAAAGACTGTGGAAATCATTTTATATGCTAGTAATTCTGAACTATATTAGGTAACCTCAAAGAGAATAAAAATTACCAATTTTTATAGTTACTACCACAATTCATAGTTTAACCAATATATTTCAAAGACAATAATAGATAAAAAGAGTCACAAACTTAGTCTCCTTAAGCCTCCTACACACACTATTGTAGTTAAGGTCTAGAGGTCAAAATGCTTTGTTACACTTATTCCTGTTTTATGCAATTTAGTTCTCATACTTATATTTAAAAGTATAAAATTTAAATTTAAAAATATAAAAACTGACACTGTTCTAGACCTATTCACTAGTTTAGTCAGGTAAATATAAAAGCATATAAATACACCCTTCTTTTCATGCAGGTAAAATTTATTCACAAAAATTAACTCTGCTATAGATGTCCTTTTCATTGAAATCTATAATTTAAGTTTTAGAATAAATGGATGGATGTTTCAAGAGTGTTCTGCACACTGTAAGGAAAAAAAAGCATAAGATCAAGCATAAAGAATTTTACTAAGACTCAGAAAAAGACTAAATAACTTCAGACATCGTAATCATCTCTCATCTTGTGATTTTGTGGGTGAATTTTATGTGGATGTAAACTGTTTGGGAATCAGTGACATACCATGAAATGTAAGAAGACTTTTAGGAGGGAGGCAGAAAGTTCAATACTAGTTAGTAAAACTGATTTCACAACAAATGAAGCATTTCTAGGCCAGAGTTAATTTTTGTAGCACCAGTGATTATTCAGATTATCCATAAAGATATTTTCTACATAAAAGATACAATCTTTAAAACTGAAACCTAAGAGCACTTTGAAAATGAGAAATTTTGCCAGTTTTTTAGATGAAAACAATTACATAAAAACATCCAAAATTGTCTGGAAAGAGATCAGACAGGTACCATTTAAAAGTAACGCAACGCTGGGTAACCTCTGTACTGGTCGGATGAGAAGTTCAACAAGGCTTTGCCGTCCACATTCTGGTTTAGCTTGGTTTATCTGAAAAGAATTAATTTATTCAAAATTTATTTTTAACGTTTTCTGCAAAGATTATTATACATTACATTTCTTAGATTACACCTTATCATTTGTGCCCTGATAAGAATGGGAGAAGTAGGGTGGTAGTTGTTCTCTGGCAGATTATTGTGGTTCAGTAATTCCCCAAGGCCTAAAATAGCCTCTTGGCAAGCCAAGGATTAACACCTTAAACAGAGAGTGAGTTCCTCTAAGCACTCTTTTACATTTCATTTCAGTTTTTCTTAAATCTACATCATTCAAAAAGAAAAAAATTTTTTAAATATTAATTATGCTGATACTATTTAGATAAACAAAGTAAGCCAGCAATAAGAAAATCATTAAAAGCAAAGCAAGATCTCATTGGAAAAATTTTAAAACTGTTTGAGAACTAGAATATGCATAACTTAAAAAACACACACACACACAACATTCATATTCACTCCACTGCCTCTTGGATCTTGCTTGTGGCATATCAAACCTTGTGATGCTGAACATCACTGCCACTTTCAAGTAAAACTAAACACATACCATTAAGGTGTTCTGACGTGGATGTATCTTTACTAAAAGATATATCTTTACTATTAAAATTTAATTTTAATAAATTCCTTCAGAAAATAATTCTCTGATTTTTATTTCAAAGAAATATACATTACCTTCAGAAAAGCATGAAATCTTGGTTTCTGTTTTTCACATTTAATAATAGTTTCCTTGCTCATTTCAAAGAAGTTCACAAAGGGAGGATAGATTTTCACCAAATCTTTGGACTAGTAACAGGCAAACAAAAAAACCCAAAACCCATTAATTTGTGATGGCTGTTACCCTTAGTCAATGAAACTTAAAGTTGAATAACCAGTAGTCAAAATCCGACATACCAGATACAAAAGAAAAGTTCAAAATAAATTTCTTCTCAAGGTAAATACAGGCAGTTTATTTCATAGTGAGTTAATTCATAGTGAGTTAATTGCTAAAGAAAATGCATCAATTGTTAAACAGAGCCTAAAACCTGAAAAGCAAATAAATACTCAGAAACAAACAAAAGTTGATGTATCTTTGTTGAACTTCAATATAAGCTTATTGTATTGATAAACATGACAAAGTTTTAAAACTTCTATTAATTTAGAATACAGTAGCAATTATAGTTGATCTATGAAGAACCCAAGAACATGCTATTATCTTTTGAAGGATCCAAACAACCATTAAAAGATCAACTGTACTGGGCAATTTTGAAGTACAAGGAAAATGTCTTGATAAATTGAGACCAAGAGGTACCAAAAAGATCTGGGACAATAATTTGCATATTTGAAATTCTCAGTCAACCAGAAAGAACATCTAACAGCTATACGGTAAGGACTAAAGTTAGGAGACCTTAGAAATCAAAACTAAATGGGTAAGAATCCAAGGCACTGAAACTTACCTGGTAGGACTGAATCATATCCAAAGAGACTGAAGGAAATTTATAAATTCTATTTGTGGCACCTCATTCAAAACTGATCTATGAAGAACCCAAGAACATGCTATTATCTTTTGAAGGATCCAAACAACCATTAAAAGATCAACTGTACTGGGCAATTTTGAAGTACAAGGAAAATGTCTTGATAAATTGAGACCAAGAGGTACCAAAAATATCTGGGACAATAATTTGCATATTTGAAATTCTCAGTCAACCAGAAAGAACATCTAACGGCTATACGGTAAGGACTAAAGTTAGGAGACCTTAGAAATCAAAACTAAATGGGCAAGAATCCAAGGCACTGAAACTTACCTGGTAGGACTGAATCATATCCAAAGAGACTGAAGGAAATTTATAAATTCTATTTGTGGCACCTCATTCAAAACTAATATGCTTTATTTAATAAACTTAACCTATGTTCTTAGAGAAGAAACAGTTCATTGGAAGGTTTTATGCAGACACAAAGACAGTAAAAAGTGCTATCAACTAAGGAAAGGAAAAAACAAAACTCAATTATAGAAAACTTTAAAAAATCATTAATCTATGGCTGTTTACGATGGGCAAATAACATGATATATGGTAAAATGACTGTAACACAACAGTTAGTATGGACGGCATGTTTCAGAAGACAAGAACACTTTCAAAATATTTTACAAACACAACAATGCCTAAGTTTTTAAAAAGTTCTCATATTTAAACAGGTAACTTTCATTCCCTGCCATTTCTTGATGAGATGATACTTTAATCTGAATACTAAAAAAAGAAACAAAATTACTTACATATTTAAGAAAGATATCACCAATGCTTTTACTCTCATCCCAATTAACAATAAGGTCTTCAAGATCATCCTGAAAAAACACAAAATGAGACAATAAATGATTCTGACAATCACTTTAGCATCTCTTAAAATCTGAATATTCATTTGAAAGACATACTTTACAGAGTACCTTAATTTGGCATGTATAACAGTAACATTCTCAGTAAGAAATTAACTTTTTGACTACAAGAAAAATATCCTTTGAAAGATAATTTAAGAAAACATAAAGAATGTCAAAGCAGTAAGACAGTCTAATTTCTCAGTATGATGTGCAAATGTAATTAATTTATACAGCTGATTGGTTCACTAATTAATTAATTAATTACAGAAAAGCACTTTTGATTTTGGCTGTTGAAGCATCAGCCATTAGAAACTATAATCTCTAATAGAGGTCAGCAAACGTTACTTAAAGGGCCAAATGGTAAATATTTTACAGCTTGCAGGCCATATGGTTCTGTCACAAGTCCTCAATTCTGTCTTTGTAGAATAGAACCATAAACAATATATAAATAATTGTGAGTGGCTGTGTATCAATAAAATTCCCTTTATGAAAGTAAGCAAAACTTAACCAAAATGCTAAACTGGCTGGATTTGGTCCATTGATCATAGTCTGCTAATTCCGGAGCAGTAAATTTTCTCAATCATCATCCTAAAATATTACTTATTAGTAAAAATTTAGAAGATATTTAAAAGCTTTCTAAGGTAATAAAACCAGATGATAAAATGAAATGGCAAGAAATGACATGCCCTAACTGAAATTCTAAAAGTGACTTTAAAGTAGAAATTAATCAATAAACTTATACAAGAGGTTGTCAAACCGTTACATGCAGATGCTCTCCCAACACATGTGGGATCCATAAGATTAAACTATTTTCATACAATATGAAGGCATTATTTGACTCCTTGATTCTCTTATAAGGATACAACAGAGTCATATAGAGGCGACATGATGTGTGATACTGAAAAAGAATGAATTAAGAAGTAGACAGGAGAAACAAGTTTTCTATTAAGTCAGACAAAAAAAAGCAAAACAAATCAACATCACGCTTTACTGTTTCTGTTTTGGAAATTAGTTATTTTTCAAAAAAAACATGTTATTTATGCTACCACATAAGGTGTTATTATTATTAATATATATTTTAAAAACTGCATGAGTTCAGTTCAGTTCAGTTGAGTCACTCAGTAGTGTCCAATTGTTTGTGACCCCATGGACTGTAGCACACCATGTCTCCCTGTCCACCACCAATTCCTGGAGCTTGCTCAAACTCATGTCAATCGAGTTGGTGATGTCATCCAAACCATCTCATCCTCTGTCATCCCCTACACCTCCCGCCTTCGATCTTTCCCAGCATCAAAGTCTTTTCAAATGAATCAGTTCTCCCCATCAGGTGGCCAAAGTATTGGAGTTTCAGCTTCAGCATCAGTCCTTCCAATGAACACTCAGGATTGATATCCTTTAGGATGGACTGGTTGGATCTCCTTGCAGTCCAAGGGACTCTCAAGAGTCTTCTCCAACNATTTTGGTACTTCCAAAGACACCATTAAAAAAAATGAAATAAGCATCAACAGGCTGGGAGGAAATACCTGCAAAACACATAGCTGATAAAGGACTTGTACCAAGAATTTACAGAGAACCCTTACAACTTGGTAAGCCAACACACAACCCAACCAAAAAATGGGCACCAGATCTAAGCACACATTTCACAAAGATAATATACAAATGAAAAAGAAGTAGATGAAAGATGTTCAACAACATTAATCATTAGGGAAATGCAAATAAAATCATTTTATATCCTAGAATGGTTATAAAAGAAAACATATAAGTACCGGCAAGAATGGATAGAAATTTGAACGCTGATACATTACTATTAAGAATATAAAATGATGTGAAAACCTGATAGTTTCTCAAATATTTTAAATGAAGACTGCCAATATAACCCAGCAATTCTACTCCTAAGTATCTATGGAAGAGAATGAAAACACACCCAAAGATTTGCAGACAATGTTCATATCAGCATGATTCATAACTGCCAAAAACTGGAAACAACCTAAATTTCTATCAACTGGTGAATGGATAAAGAAATGCAGCATATCCTTATAATGGACTATTATCTGGCCACACAAAGGAACAAACTACTAACATGCTAAATCATAGATGAAATTCAAAAATATACTAAGTTAAAGGAGGCAGACATAAGACACTACCTATTATATATTTATGTTATACGGGATGTCTAGAAAAGGCAAATTTGTACGACAGAAAGTAGATTAATGGTTGCCTGGACCAGGGCTAAGAATGGCCATGAAGGATCTTAGTGGGGAAGATGAAGATGTTCTAAAATGTATATGGTGACAGTTGCATGATTTGGTGGCTTATTAAAATCACTGAATCATATATTTTAAAAAAGGTTGAGTTTAAAGATGTAAAATATACTTCAATGAAACTGTTAAAAAACTGAGGCATCTTTAAAAGTATTTTTAAACTTTCTGTTTCAATTTCAAAAACAGTTAATACGAATAAATAAAACCCACATAAACACAAGTTCCTCGATCATTTTTTAAGAATGAAAAGGGATCCTGAAACCAAATAATTTAAGAACTATTATCCTATACTCTGGGCTTCCTCTGTGGCTCAGCTGGTTTAGAATCCGCCAGCAATGCAGGAAACCTGGGTTAGATACCCGGGTTGGCAAGATCCCCTGGGAAAGGGAAAGGCTACCCACTCCAGTATTCTGGCCTGAAGAATTCCATGGACTATATAGTGCATGGGGTCGCAAAGAGTCGGACATGACTGAGTGACTTTCACTTCACTTAACTTCACATGCTATACTCTGCAGATTCAGAAAAGTCAAAAGGGAAAAACTTTACTTTCAGTAGTGTAAAGGTGAACTCAAGCAAGAATAATTAAACAGCCCACAGAGTCAAGAATTAAGATTTAACTATTTAAAATTGCACTTGAAAGAAAGAATAAAAGGATTATACATAAGGATAATCTTGGAACAATATAATGCAGTGAATTCTAGCACTGACTAATTAGTTTTAAATACTGGCTCTAGAGCATGTTAAACTTTGTGCCCTTGGGCAAATTACTTAACCTATAAGTGCCTCAATTTTCTATTCTGAAAAATAAGTATAGCAATGACTCCTATCTCATAAAGGATTAAATTAGCTAATATTTGTATAGCACTTAGAAGAAACCCTAACAAAGAATAGTGCTCAGTAAGTTACTATTAACTATCTTTTCCTATGTATTTAATATAAATATGGGAGATATTTGGAAAACTGTGATGTAAAAGAGAAAAAACCTATAGCTCTGCAAATATAATCTAGTGGTACATTTTTAAAGTGTAAACAATTACAGGATGGCGGTATATAGTTATATGAGACCATTACAATCAGAAAGCAAAATAATCTCTAGGCCACCTGAAAAAGTCCAGTTTCTGGTTAACCTTTAAATCCTTGAGCCTGTTGATTAAATAAAGATCTCTGCCCTAATCACTTGGTCAGCTCAGAGACTAAGTAATAAAGAAACTAAGGCTTAGAGAGATTAACTTGCCCCAAATCACACACTTGTGAACCAGTACTCACACTCATGCTCGCCTGACTCCAGATTCCATGTCACTCTACGAGATCTATAGCACAGTTATCGCCATTAGAAACGGGGAGTCAGGTGGGCAGGTGAGCCCCCAAGAGTATTAGTCATAGCGCCACCATTTCTTACAATGTTTCTGTGGGAATATGCTTGACTCAGTTTAGTACAGACCCTGGGACATGTCTCCTCCTTGTCCATACACAATTCTCCATAGGATGCTCCCAACATTACCTCCTGGGAGTAAGAAAGGAAAATTCTATAGTTCTAAGACATTGAGCATAGAGCTCCCAAAGCCTATTTAGAAAGTAGAGGAAGTTGTAAACAGATTGAACTAAGAAGTTAAGCTCTTTCTTTCTTTTCGTCCTTGCTAAGATTTCTTCTATACCATTACCATCTACTTTACACAAGATGGGTTTCTCTTTTACTAAGGTCACTGCACAAGACACCAAATCAGCAGATTCCCCAATACAAACCTGTTCCTGAAACAAGTTCAAGGTACCCTGAGACTTAACACTAAATTAACAAATAACAAAGCATAAACACAGAAAGAAAAGGTCTTCCCTCAACTCCTCTCTTGCTCTTTTGTTTCTTCATAGTTCAATACACATCAAGGTATTTGCACATCAAGAACCAATGCTGATTAGCGCTGAAAAGGAAAAATTCACACAGAAAAAGATGCTGATAATAATCTCAGACATCCTCATATTAAGATAATTATTAGCATGCTGCATGATGTAAGTTGCAGACAAATGAAGAATGAGGCTAAAGGTGTACACATCTAAGATAACAAAATAAATTTAACTTCCGATCCTGATTTGGACATTTAAAAAGTAGCATGACCAATATTCAACAAACATCTACTGACACAAATCTAATTGCCAGAGAATGGTTGTAAACACAGTGGGTAAAACATGATTTTAATCCTTCACAAAACAACCACTCATGATTCAGACACTACTATCCCCATTTTACAGAGAAGAAAACTGAAGCAATTAAAGTTAACTTACTTTGAACCCAAATCTACTTTATTCCACAGTCCAAATTTGTAACCACTATGCAATGCTATAAAATACAAATAAATACCAGTGCTTCTCAGGAATACCATACCAATATGATATGAAAAACTGTACAAGTTTAAGCCATATTTACATGATTTACTCATTTATATACTAAAAGAATATATCTACAGCATGATAATCAAGAAGCAATATAGCATTAGTAAATTAGGACATGGAAAGAACCTCAACGTCCATTAATTAATGAATGGATAAAGAAAATGTGGTATATACAACAAAATATTATTTAGCCATGAAAAAGCCATTATGCCTTCTGTAATAACGTGTATAGTCCTTGAGGGCATTATGATACATGAGATAAGTCAGAGAAAGGTAAGTACTATATGATCTCACTTATATGTGGAATCTAAAAAAACCCCACAAAAAACACACACAAAAATCTCATAGTTACAGACTGGCAGTTGCCAGAGACAGGGGAAGGAGGGTGGTTAAAATGGGTAAAGGTGGTCAAAAGGCAAATTTCCAGTTATTTTACTTACTCCAGTCCTGAAGATATAATGTAGAGTATGGTGACTATAAACAATACTATTTTGTATATCTGAAAGTTGCCAAGAAAGTAAAACTAAAAAGTTCTCATCATAAAAAAAAAAACAAAAAAAAACTATGTGTGGTGGTAGATCTTACCTAAACTTATTGTGGTGATCATTTTGCAGTACATACCTATATGAATCCATTATTGCTATATACCTAAAACTAACACAATGCTACATGTTAATTTTATCTCATAAAGAAAGGGGGTTGGGAGCAAGAAAACATAAGGGTTTAGGAGAACAGACTTTGAAGTCAGACAAAGGTGAAAGTGAAGTCATGTCCAACTCTTTGCAACCCCCTGGACTGAGCCCACCAGGCTCCTCCGTCCATGGGATTCTCCAGGCAAGAGTACTGGAGTGGGTTGCCATTTCCTTCTCCAGGGGATCGTCCCGACCCAGGGATGGAACCCAGGGATTGAACCCGGGCCCCCCGCATTGGAGGCAGGCGCTTCAACCTCTAAGCCACCGGGGAAGTTAGAGAAAAAAGGGTTCAAAGTCAATGTCCAGCATTTATGAGATGACTGACTTTAGAAACGTATTCAATCTCTACATAGCAGTTTCACATCTGTACAATGTAGACAATCACAGTATCGAATTCCTGGTAATGTTCAGTGGATGTGGCAGTACCCGATAAAGGGCAGGCTACATTTAAAAGGAAGAAAAGAAAACATGCTATGCAAAAAAAAGACAAAGAAAATACAGCATAATTTTGGAAGTATTTGGGTTACAGAATTATAGGTATTTTCTACTTTTTCCTTTTCTCCTTTATTTTACAAATATATGTTTGACAGCACATATGGGTTTCGTGGTAGGAAAAAACTATAGGCTTTAATATTTTAAATGCATGACAAACCTGAAATTAGCTAAAAAACCACTACTACTTGAAATACTGGTAATCCAAGTTTGTAGAAGAAGCTTAAAAAATTGGGCACATATTAGAAAACTAGAGTAACAATCATTTTCAAAGCTCCAGTGACTCACTAGTGAAGGAAACATAAAAGTAGACACAGATACAGAGTACAAACTAATGGTTACCCTTGGGGAGAAAGAAGTGAGAAGGGCAAGATAACGATAGTGGGGGCAAACAGGGTTATTATGGGATTATATAAACGATAGTGGGGGCAAACAGGGTTATTATGGGATTATATGAAATCATGTATACAAAACATTTCAAAATTGTAAAGCAATATAGAATTTAAATAACCATTTATTCACTAAAAAAATTATTAACAACAAAAAAAGGGCCAGTGAATCAGAGAACAAAATTTGCCAAACTAAGATTATGACTCTGTACACATAGAAAGTTTATAACATTTTATATTAGATAGGAACTTGCATGCCCAGAATGGCTAAATGACTGACACCAAGTGATCTACAAATTAGCAGTAAAACACCAAGATGAAATCTGCTTGCCATTCTACTCTATTTTTATACCTCTCAATGTTTCTCATGAGGAAAAAAAAAAAGACCATTCCAAGAAGACTTTACTCTTCAAATATTCAGAATCCTAATTGGAAATAGGGATAAACTAGCCTGAGATTCCATAGCTTTTTAATCTTTTAAAAAAGAGAAAGACTCCTTCAAACTTACTTGTAAATCTAGAAATAGGTGAAATATGATCAAGGATCTTGAGAAAATACAAAATATAAGCATTGGATAAACTGCATTTTTATTAATTTACAGATCTTTCATATTTTTGTAAGTAAGTTAATGTATTTGTTTGAAAACATTCTGTAATTCAGACCGATCATTTTATTGTAACACTGAGTAAACATTAGGGAAAAGGTAAATTAGCAATAATACTGTGCCTCAAATAAACCTCACTGGCTATAACACTGCCACAAAGCTGTAATAAACATCAAAACGGGTTGTTCTGAGAAGAAAACTAATCAGTTGTGCTCAGGCATCATATATGAAGAGGAAATAAAGCTAAATTACTTTTAAGAGTTCATCTAAATCTTTCCACAAATTACTTTACTATGAGAGATTGATACCTGGAATCCAGTGACCCTTCAACAAAGGAAAATTATTATAATAAAAAGTAGACAGCATTGTATTTTACAGTTTTGGAATTTATCTGACTAGATACATAGAGAGAGAGAGAGAGAGAGAGAGAGGAATGAATGAAATGATCTCTAACCCTTTCCAACTTCCGTTTTTTAAACAAACAAAACAAAAACATACAACTCAAGATGAATAGCGGTAAAAAACAAGAAAAATAGTATTAGCAAACACATTATCTTAATAGAAAAGACTTTATAAGGTCTATATTCTTTATTTTCAAATTAATCAAAGTAAAAAGACAGGCAGCAGCAAAAAAACATTAATAAGGTGCTAGAGCAAAGAGGCAAATGATTCAAAGGAATAAATGAGGGACTAAAAAATTTTAAATACAAATTTTATTTAGCTAACTAGAAGTACATGAAAAATCACAGGAAATACACATAATCTAAAAAGAATTACTACCACACTTATATATACAAATTTACCTTTATCTTAGTGTGCACATCAAAGATATCTGGAATACTACCAAAAATAGTCTTAATTTCTTCTGGTGCAAGGATAGGCCCACCTCGTTGTCCTTCCTCTTCCAATGGCACTTGAAACAACTAAAGGGTGAAACAAGACTAGATCAGGTAAACTGGAAGAAGAAAAGAGTTTTTTAAAATCTAATGTATATACAGTGATAAAGGAGAGATAAGATATTAACAGAAAAAAAAAGTATTTCTTCCTAACCTAAATTTGAGACCTTTTCTCATAACATTTTCTAGTCTATTTTATCCTATTTATTTACACATCTGTGTGTGTGTGTGTGTGTGTGTATATATATATATATATATATAAAATCTTGTAACAAAATATTAATTAGAATCCAGTAAAAGTTTATCACAGTCCTACAAATCATTAAAATTGCTAGTGTGATACAGAGTGATTTCTACTTTTTTAATTCAAGTTACTAAGGAAGAAAGCAATAAGGAATCATACTCTTAATATAGGTACTAAATGTTTTAAACTGATAGCAAAAAAAAAACTTGGTTTAGGGGAAAAAGACTGGATTTGAAGCTAAAAGACCCATCTGTATCCATGCTGCTGCTTCTATCAATCTTAAAAAAATACTCCTACAAATAGTAAGTAAATTCAGCAAGGTCTTAGGGATGCAAGGTCAGCACGCACATGCATGCACACACACATGCATGCAGGCACACTGAAAAAGAATCCTATTTCTCTAAAGCAGTTTTGTACAAGCTGAAACCAAAAGTTAAAAAGCAGTATCATTTACAATAAAAAACCAAAATGCTTAAGTATAAATAGAATAAATCACATACATGATGCTGAAAACTACAGAATGTTGATGAAAGAAATCAAAGAAGACCTAAATAAATGAAGACATATGGTCATGGATTGAAAGGCTCAACACGGTAAAAATGTCAACTGTCCCCCACCCCCGAACTGACATAAGGATTTTACCCTAATGCCTATCAAAAATGCCAGGACTTTTCATAGATAAAGAAAATCTGATTCTAAACATTCATATGGAAGGGCAAAGAGCTTCTTACTATCAAGCTCCAGTATTCAAGACTGTGCAACACTGGTGAAGAGAGAAACATTCAAGATCAACAGAACAGACTACAGACACTAGAAACAAATCCACGCAAATTTTTTGACAAAGGTGCAAAAGCATTTAGTGCAGGAAGGCAAGTTGTCCAGCACACGGTACTAAAACACCATCTGCCAAAGGCAAAACAGATGAACCTCAGCCTAAACATAATCTTTATACAAAAATTAACTCAAAAGTAATCACAGACCTAAAGAAAAAAACCCACAACTACGAAACATTTAGAAGAAAACCTAGGAGAAAACCTTGTGACTTAGGCTTATGTAAAGAGTGTTTAAATATGAAATCAAAAGCATGATGTATAGAAGAAAAAAAAAATGATAAATTGGACTTTACCAAAACTAAAAACTCAGCAAAAAACTTACAAGAAAACATGTTATAGAATAGGAAAAAAATGTCTGCAAATCACATTATCTAACAAAGGACTATATCCAAAATATATAAAGTAACTCTCAAAACTCTGGAAAGAAAACAATCCAATTAAAAACAAGTAAAATCTTTAGTTATTTCAATTAAAACAAGATATACAGATATCAAATAAGGACAAAGATGTTCAGTATCACTAGTCTTTTTGAAATGTAAATTAAAGCCAGGATGAGATAATACCACACAGGTGTCTGCATGGCTAAAATAAAAAACACTGATAACGTAAAGCAATGGTGAGGATGTGAGAACTGAAACTTTTACATGTTGCTGGTTGAAGAGCAAAACTGTACAGCCCCTCTGGCAAAAGGCTTGACAGTTTTTTTTTGAAATCAAGCATTACTTACCATATGATCCAGCAGTATCACTCCTAGGTGTTTACCCAAGAGAAATGAAAATTTATGTCCTTATAAAACTTGTACACAAATGTCTGTAACAGCTCCATTGATAACCACTCAAAACTGGAAACAACCCAAATGTCCTTTTAATAAGTCAATAGATAAACTGTGGTACATCCATACAGTGGCATACTACTCTGCAAAAGGATCAAACTATTTATAAACACAAGTTAGATAAAACCCAAAGGAACAGGTTGTATACAATGACTCTGCTTTATGACATTAAAAAAAAAATTATAGTAACGAAGAAGAGATTAGTGATTACCAGGAGATGGAATGAGAAAAAAGTGTGACATAAAGGAATAGTAACAGGAGTTTTGGGGGGTGATAGAAATGTTAAATGTATCAAAGAGTTAATTTACGGTATAATTAAAATTCTAAAATATTGACTATTCAAAGTAAAAATAATAATGTATTATTGGGTTAACATATGTAGAAGTAAAATGACTATAGCACTAAGGCCAGGATAGGATTAAAGAAAGGAAGGAGGGAGGGAGAGAGAGAAGAAAAGAAAGAACATTGTAAATAGTAAGAAACTTCATAAAGATTATGAATTGTTCTTACAAGTTTACCACCTCTTTTCCCAAAATACATATATATATTCAGGCCTTCCATTTTTGCAAGTATGGTGAGCACCTACTTGCTGAAAACAAAATAATGAAGTAAGAAAAACCTCTGTCTAAATACATCAATAAGCTGACAAGAAAGTGAGGTACTTTCAGAGGCCAAAATCTAAGTAAAAGTAGAAAGCTGAGTACTAAACCTTTTTCCCAAAGACATTTGCCTAAATCGATGAAAGTTAAACCTTCACCTATAAAAGCCTCAGTGAGAACAGAAGACCCATTCAAAACATAGATTCCAACATATTAACAACTTCCAGTAAAGTCAGAAGTATGTTTAACCAATGACTCAGAAATTCCAGATTTCTGCCCAGAATATGTTCTCAAGCAGCCATGAGTAAGAATACTCACAGAAGCACTACTAGTAACAGTAAAAACAAACAGCAGTGAAAACACCAAAACAAATTCCAATGTCTACGAAAAATAAAAGTTAATTAGGTGGATATAATCATACAGGAAAATGAATTACTGCCACATGCAGTGACACAGATCTATCTTAAGAACATCTCCATCAAGTGAAAAAAGCAATTCACTAAAAAATATATACTGTTACATTTAGACAGTTTGATTTTCCACATATATATGATAGATCTATAAGGAAAATGGTAAGCACAAAACTCTAGGTAATGGTTATCTATGAGAGAGGGAAAAGAAATGGGATTGGGAAAAAACATAATAGAAGATGCAAAGATATCTATAACCATTTATAAGCATTCCTTTATATAGTCAACATTTCATTAAAAATCCTAAACAAAAATATTCAGACCATCAAAATACATCAAGATTAAAACTTCTCAGTACTCTTAAGACACAATCTCTTAAAATATTTTTACTGTTTTAATCCTGCATATAAAATTAGTTAGCTAAAAACTAGTGATTCTACCTTTCCAATATATCTCAAATCTATCCTCTTTTCATTCTCACTGAGACTATCCTAAGAAGTTTAGTTTATTAAAATCTCGAACCAAGAGTGCTGAAATAATCTTCAAATTGATCTCGCCTCCATGATTTCTTTCCCCTTCTTCAATACCTCTTTCAAAGTGAACCAAATGACTTTCTAAAATACAAGTCAAATGTTACTATCTTTCCCTTCCTATCAAAAATTCTTTAACAACAAATGACCTAGCACACTGTACAAAGGCCTTCCCTAGTCTGGAGTAAGCAATCTTATCTCAACTCGCACTATATTCACACTCTAAACTCTACCCTTAGTTCAGTTCAGTTCAGTTGGTCAGTTGTGTCCAATTCTTTGCAACCCCATGGACTGTAGCATGCCAGGCTTCCCTGTCCATCACCAACTCCCAGAGCTTGCTCAAATTTATGTCCATTGAATCGGAGATGCCATCCAACCATCTCATCCTCTACTGTCCCCTTCTCCTCCTGCCTTCAATATTTCCCAGCATCAGGGTCTTTCCTAATGAGTCAGCTCTCTTGGGGTGGCCAAAGTATTGGTGTTTCAGCTCCACCCTACCCCTAACCCACCCTCAACTCAAATTCCCTTGGACTATTCTGTAATACTGTGAAGGATTACAGTCTTTTATACTGTTGGAATAATCTCAAATACACTTCCCACCCATATTCTTTGCATACACTAATCATAGTCATGCTTTAAAACTCACTTCAATTTGCATCTTCTGTATGATAGTTTTTTAGTGTTCAACCATTGAAAATTCCAGCCCAACACCTTCCCTAAACCGGAAGAGGAGCAAAATTCTCACCACACATATCTCCAAATACCTTAACTAAACCTCTCTCATGAGGTTCAGAACTTTCCATTTGGTTATAATTAGGTGTGTATGTTTTAACTTCTATTCCAGTCTAAGTTCCTTTAAAAGAGGAATCCTCTTTAACACATGTCACAACACCTTATATTAATAGGCACCTAAGTATTACAAGGGAAAAATCAAGAAGTTTCACTTAATTTGGGGGGCTAAGTAAAAATTAAGCTATTCCAAATTCAAATTTTTTTTAAAAATTTGTAGGACACATTAGTAGGACACATTGTAGGACACATTAGTCCTGCAACAAAGCTTAAAGAGAACACTACAATGAATGTGGCCCACAAATTTTTAAGTAAACTTAGGTGAATTTATACTAAGCACAGTAGTGTGGAAGTTTGTCTACAGTGTAATAATTACAAGTGCTTTTAAAAAAGAAGTTTTAGTGAATGTAATTGATATGCAAATTACAATCAGAAACTCCAGGGCATTTACCATGGCCTGAAAGGATTTACATTTCTAGGTTACAAATGCTACCAAAGTACATGAACAGTATATGCCAAAGGGATTTTCTGCTACTCAACCACATTTTGGCTGGCCATAAAAACTTCAAGAAGAAACTGATCTAGGATGGCTTCCCTTGAGGAAGAACAGAACTGACTTAAAACAAGTTGAGTTTAATACAGCAGAGGGTCTCATAAAACCCTACTACTAAATAAATCAACTGTGAAGAATAACCTGTCTATGAATACCAAGAAAAAAGTTTTTTATTTCTTATTCATGCATCTTATCAATGGTACAAGCAACTAAAGGCCATTATATTGGACTTAATGAACAATATTAAGAATTAAAATAGAATTAAAAATTAAACCCAAATAAGAAACTCCCTATCATTTTCTATTCAGAGTTAAGCTAGGTGGTATCAACTTTATTTTCCTGACACACTATCTCCTTCATGACTACAAACAAATTTATTCCTTCTTTCTACAGATTCCAAAATAATGTCCTATTATTATGCCTTTCAGAACCTTGAATTTTGATTTATTCCTTAATATCTTTCTTGATCTCATCCTACAAGGATTCCTTAGAATTGTTTTTTCTTCAGAAATAACTTCATAGTACATTTTAATAATAATAAGCAATGAGTCAACATTTGACTACTGCAAAATTTTAGAAAACAACACATTAAAGGATAACTTAAAAAAAATTACTATGGCAGACACCAACACAAAGCAATCAACCTCCAACTAAAAATAAACTTAAAAAAATGAAAATTTACTGACAAACATGTTGTTATGCTTCATTGCTAATTGTTTTTCCATATATAAACAGTACTAAATAAAGCAATGACTCTGGGATACACACTATCATAAAAAGCTACCACTTCCAAATGTAAATGCAGTATCCTGACATGGAAGCTGCAAAATTCTGAATTAAATTCAGTCTCCTCTAAGACCATCTATTGAGGATCCTTCTCTTTTTAAAGTCACTATTTTAAAAAAAAAGCTATTTCTGCATGAAAAAAAAAAAACTACTCTTACATGGCATTTCCCTAATAGCAGTTTCTGTCATAGACTTTCAATATCTATGTTTAAATTCTATGTTTATACAATTCTCTTATAAAAAATAACACCACATTTTTTTGTTTTTACTTATTAACACTAGAACAGAGATCATTCTTCCAAATTCTTACCTGAATAATTGTGGCCAATATGTTTACATAATTACTTTCAGTCTGATAGAGCTCTTTTGCAACTTGCCACCTGGCTGACTGCTTTGAAGGAACTGGAGTGGAATTCTTAGAAGACTTAGTACAAGACTTTGGTGTTTCTAAAAGGAAAAAGGAGGAAAGATTTAAAATGGAAGCCAGATATAAGTACCAAACACTGTAAAAAAGAAAGAGAGAAAGAAGGGTATCTACTCTTATAAATATACCACCATATATATTTTCATTAAAGTAGAGCTTCATCCTAGAATAAGGCCAGAAAAAAATAATGGTCATGTACTCTTCAAAAACATCAAGATCATTAAAAAACAAAGAATTACCGAAAAGAAGAACTGTTCCAGATAAGAAGAGACTAAAGAAAGATAACACAATTTATAATCCTGGATTGAATCCTAACTCAGAAAAAATTTTTGCTTTTGCCAAATAGCGTAGTAGGACATTAGTGGAACAATTAGTAAAATCTGAAGGTCTATAGAGTAGATCGGTGTTAAATGTTAATTTCCTAATTACAATTAACCTAATGAGACTCACTCCTCCATATTCAAAGCAAACTGACTGACTATTCCCTAAAAACTCATTCTGTATGCTGTGTTACAAGTCTTCTTGCTCCTCTTGTAATAAATCTCAAATCCAACTCAGTTTTCTACACCTATTTTAAATTGACTTTTAATTCCTTCCATGAATATTTAGTGACTACCTATTCCATACTAAGGGCTTGCCTGGTGGCTCAGTGGTAAAGAACCCAGTTGCCAAAGCAGGAGATTCAGGTTTGATCCCTGGGTTAAGAAGATGCCCTAGAGAGCGAAATGGCAACCCACTCCAGTATTCTTGCCTAGGAGGTCCCATGGACAGAGGAACCTGGTGGGCTATAGTACATGGGGTCCCAAAGGAGTCAGACATGACTTTGGGACTAAACAACAACTCTATTCCAGGCACTGGGAATAAAAGCAGAGAAGACAGACAAGGTACTTATTCTCTTCAAGTTTACATTCTGGTGAAGAGAATAAAACAATAGCGGAGTAAACAAACAACTTCTAGCAGTGATAACTACTCCTGAAGACAACAGCCCGGGGTCAGGGTGGTAGGAAGGAGCAGTGGGACAGGGCCTTACCTTTACAGAGAACCCGATAAGATTTCTTTAAAATAGGGAGAGCAAGTATAAAGTTCCTGAGGTATGGTTTTAACAGTAGAAAAATCTGAAGACTAACAGACACTGTGACTGATACCCAGAGGGTATCAGTGGAGACAATAGCACATGACCTTAGAAGTAACTGAGGAAGGATGACCTAGGAACCTGAAAGCTATGGTAATACAAAGCTACTGTCTTTGTGCAGAGAACAGCATGAACTAATTTATATGTTTTTAGACCTCTCTAAGTGCTAAATGTAGAAAGGCAAACATAAATATAGGGAGACCGTCTAAAGGACCACTGCAATTATCTAAGAGACCATTTATATAGAAAAGGTTGATAAAGGAAGGGTAACAAAGGAAGAGAGGTTGAATCAAGATTTCTAATGTGGTTATGTGAAGAACAGGCTGTGTATTAGACATGAACAAGGAGGTGTGAAGAATACAGTTGAACAGGAAAAACCTCACATTTGGGCATCATCAGCTATAGAAAGAAAAGCCATAGAATTAAATGAGATCATTTAGGAAGAATTCAATGGAAAATAAATGACTCAGGAATAACATTCCACATTTAGAGTTGGAAAGTTAAGTTAGGCCAAGGAAGAAAGAGAAATGAATGATATACAAGAGCCAAAATTAAAAAATGTGTCCAGGAAGGAGTAACTGCTTATGTACTCAATGCTGTTGAATGTACAAACTGTCAGGCCCCCTCAGCAAGAGCACTGAAATTCAATTGGAATGAACTGAAAAGACAGTAAAAAGAAAGGAAATGAGACAATGGATGAAGATAAATCCTTCAAGAGTAGTTATATGAAAGGGAAGAGAGAAACAGGATAGTCAGTGGAGAGTATTACGAAGTCAAGGAAAGGTTTTGATTATTTCATAAATTAGAAAACAACATACTTGTGTGCAGACTGAAAAAAAAAAAAAACCAGAGGGAAAAAACTGAAGATCAAGATAAAAGAACTAATTATATGTGGCTTCCTGTATCAGCTGATAAACAAAGTAAATTCACCTTCTTCTGACTTCATTGTACCTATTTTCTCCATTATTCATGTGACATCTGTGGTTCTTTGTGTTAACAATCTGCTCTCTGAACAGCTCTACCACTTTCTAGCTATGTGACTCTAGACAAGTTTTACTTCTCTAATCTCAGTATAGTCATCTGTAAAATAGGGGCAATAGAATTTATCTTATAAACACACAAAACATATAAACACTTAGTATATAGCAAGCAATTGTTAAATCTAAGCATTTTCATCTGCCTTTTCTCCTCAGAACAAAGGCCAGTCACTGTAGTATGGATTTATCTACATTCTAATAATTATTCTATTCCACTAAATTTAAAGATTTAAAAATGTGAATTACCTCCATAGTTAATGCTAGATTCTGGTGTGTTGGAGATATCTAGGAGTGACCCTATAGAAAGGGAATGTTCAGCTGATGGGCGCTTACGGGGAGGGAAAGGTGACAAGTCTGCCTCTCTTGAAAGCTGAGCAAGTGTCTCTTTTAAACGACGTCTTTTGCGATTGCTGTTTGGGGTATTTAGAGAAAGCAGTGACACTGATTTCTTGAGCTCAGGTGTATTAGCCTGCAATCAAAAGCATAAAAGCTCAATTTTACTTCTGTGGTTCTTTACTGAGACAAGAACAAAAGAAAAACACACAAAAATCTGACAAAATCTGGGTTTTGCACAATAATTTTACAACTACACATTTTTCCACATAATTCAGCTGTTTCATAAAACATAATAATCAAAGGACTATTGTGATTGTCTAACCACTAACACCAAATTCTTTTTCTCCACAGTAGTATTACCATTACATATTTGCCTATAAGCTTGTTTACAATCTACTCTCCATCAGACCATAAATTCCAGGAAGGCAGGGACCATTCATTCCTATTTTGTTCACTGTATCTCTGGCATTTAGCACAATGCCTGGATACAATGCTCTTCAATATTTCTCAAATACCACTTGGCTTTTTTTTTTTTAACTGTACTGTCTTTAAAAATGCATCGACAATGTTCCGAGGGCTTTCACTAACTGAGGTGAGCAGGGGCTACTCTGAGCTTCGGTGCTGGGGCTTCTCACTGCAGTGAGTTCTCTTGTTGCAGAGCATGGGCTCCAGGCTTGTGGGATTCAGCAGTTGTAGCACATGAGCTTAGCTCCCCCACAGCATGTGGAATCTTTCTGGACCAGGGATCAAATCCATGTTCCCTGCATTGGCAGGCGGGTTCTTAAGCACTGGACTGCCAGGGAAGTCCTACCACTAGATTTTTTTCAGAATTCTCTCTTGCAACCTGAGGCATATTTTTTAAACTTTACGTTCAGAAACTTACATTGAGAATAAGCGCCCAAAGAGAACACAACAGAGTACATATTTAGATTTTATAGAAACATAATAAATGAATATTTCACCTTCAACATTCCATTCAAAATTATTAAATCCCAAACTGAAGTAAATTTTCCCTTGAAGCCTGCTTCCCTATCTTTCTGTCACATTCTGGTGAACAACACTGTTTTCACCAAGATCCAGCAATAAAGGCTGGATTTTCCTTGCCTATAATTCCTTCTACTACAGTCATTTTTTTAATGACATCCCTCCCCATTCTTCAGTTACTCCAATACTTACAGAACAAATCAAAATGCTTTAACATATTAAAAACTTGATTCTGCCTATTTAGTCAGCTTTGTCTGTTGGCCTTCTTTCCCACACTCTTTTCTGAAGCCATACTTTTAATGTACTTTTAAGCTTTCATACCCTCTCCCACCTGCTGTCTAACATGAATGTCCTTACTAAGTTAGCCAAGGAAGATGACTCAGCATTTATTTGCTCTTTTCAATCCTGCCTGAGTCTCTGAGTTTAGTAGTTAGAATACATACATTGCTCAATTATGGCACATTTCATTCTGTACTGTAATTGTATGCACATCTCTTTCCTTTAAGGTTCTAAGTTTTTGAAGATAGGGATGTTATGGTTTATAATGGGATCACCAAGAATTAGCACAGAATGACACAGATTAAAATAAGATCCAATACATGGTCTACATAGACTATCCCTCAATATCCAACTGTTTAATTATTCTGACATTCCTAAACATGACAAAAAAAACATGATCTATGTGCTAATTATCCTAGGTTCTTTTGGAATAAAAAAGTGTCATCTTCATACAATCAAGCTCACAGAACAAACGAAAAAAGGGACAAACAGCATACCTTTTCATATAAATACATAGTTTCTCCAGCTCGGGCATCCATTTGAATGCTTCCCCAGAACCACTAGTGGAAAGAACACTTTAGTTAAGAATTTATCTCATCAGAAAAGCTATTACTAATGTTTTTTAAAAACCACTCTTATTTTACAATTACTTGCCTCTTGTTTCACAACATAAAGTTTCTTTGAAGGTTCAAATGGAAGTTCTTTTACTATATTCTCTTCAACTATAAGGTGAGTGCATCTTTCATCTCCAACTGGTAAATAGTTTCCTCCTAAAAAGGAAAGCATACAGGCATACATAACACCAACTGTTTATCCCCAGGCCCAAATTTTTTAAAGAGACATATTCTCGAGGAAGTGATTAGCAAGAGTAGGGAATAAAATGTTAGCTTTTAAATTATGCTGAATACTACCTTGCATTTTAGTCATTTCTTCCATATTGGTTTTCTCTTCATCCGAAAAACCCAGGAAACTTAAAATGCAGTCTTGAAATGGAGGAACTTTAAATTCATTTCTAAAGTCATCAACTGATGCACAGAAGTCCCTAAAAACAAAGTACATGCTCCTAAAACCAGCTTAACTAAAATTCAATATAAGTAAAGCAGATCAATTTATAAATATACAGTAACTTGCAAGGTTTTAGCATAATCCGTTTATTGAAAATATTTTACATTAGGTCCTGAAATGTTCATAAAAACTACAGTCTTCCCACACAGTTTAATCACAGCTAATTGTTACAAGATGCAAATATCTGCTCTGTACATGAAATTTTATATGTATTCCAGGGGTTCTATAGTTTCATAAAATCTTAAGTAATAATCAAGTACAAGAGCAAGGAATTATGAGACTGGAAAGCTTAGCAAGGTTATGAAATGCAATTACCACTTAAAATGTAACCAGACAAATATAAGAAAAAATATGGCACAACCCAAACATCCAGATGCAGTAAGCTATTACCTAATCATTTTAGAATGTTTTTATTGGTTATTAAATTATTTTATAAAATAAAGTTCAAAGATATCATAGATGTCTTTCCATTTTCAATAATAATAATAATTTTGTTCTTCCTATACTTTATTGCCTAAGCTTCACAAAGACTGAATTAACTTTTCATATATTAATTTATGAATTTTGGGCACATGGGTTTCCTAATGACATGTGATTGATTCACATAGTTAACAACTGAATTTCTAAATACTTACTGTTCATTCCGCCTTTCCCAAGCTTTATAAATCCATTCTGGTTTCATAATTGGAGTACCTAGGCTCACAGCTACCTAAAAACATAAACATTAATTATGATGAATTTTTACCTTAAATAACTGCATTCCTATAAGATATAAACAATTATAATTACATTCTTAGATCACTGCCCATCTGCTTTGTAACAAAATATAAAGAAAAATTAAAGGAAAAACTATATTTCCATCATACAATTTAGGTTAAAATAACTTACAAAACAAGTTCCACAAGGTCCAAGCTATTTCATTTTATTTTAAATAAATACATCTCCCAAGTTGATTCAGTTCATCTTTATTACATTTCTATTTCCCTGTTTACTTTTTTAGAAGTATTAACCCCAATGATAGCACTAAGAGTTTAAGAAAAAATATCTGATTAGGTCACAAAATCTTAGGTATGAATTCTAAGTATACCTCCCAGGAATTCAACATTACTCTAAACTTACCATTTGCTACATATATACAGTGATGGAGGGTGACAACAAAGTGATAAACTCTTCCAGTGCAATCTTGAACTAAGACTTTAATCCCAATAAAAGTATTTTCTCCTGTTCTATAATTTTCACAAGTTAAATCTTAGAACCATTTTATAAGAACAAAGTTCTACTCTTAGATAAGAGAGAAATACCTGCCCTCATCACCTTCTGATCCCCTTACTCACCAACACTCATAGTAATTCTTTCCTAATATTACTCATCTGCCTCCTAAAATGTTATTCACTTACCAACCTCCACTATCCTAATCATCTTTCAAGACCTAACTCAAGCTCCACTGCCTCTTTCAAACCTCAGGGGCCACACTTCTATGATTTAAAATTTTTTACTAAACACACATGTAGCAAAAATTGAATTTCTGATCCTCAATAAATTGTGAGAGAAATAGACAAAATGAGAACATTATCATTCTATCCATTACCAAACAGTGCTATGTTGAAATACACAAAAATCCTAAAATTTACATACCCTGAATTTTTCTCCTTGTGTACAATTTGCCACCAAATGTGTAACTTTTGAATTAAAGTCTTTTCGAATAACTCCACCCATGTGATGAACCAAAGTCACCAATCTGACCTCAAAAGAAAAAGTAAACACAGGTTTTTTTTATTAATATGAACAAAATTTTAAACTATGTTTATAGTTCATTTAGCATATACTGATTTCTATTTATAAGGTACATAAAAATTTTTATAAAGTTTATGTTACAAATTAAAGATTCATTTGCCTTATTGACATAGGCAAAATCATACAGAGAGACAAGTTAGTTAAGATGAACATACAAAACTAAGTTAATTAAAGACTGGCTTTCACACAAGTGAAAAAGTAAATATATTTCTTCTTAGTGGTGGGTGGTGAAGTAGAAAAGCTTGTTGTTTGCCAGGCAAAGGGGGATACAACAGGCTTGTGTCCCCCCCAAAAAAATGTCCTCAATTTATTACTTTTTAAAAGCCAGGTTGCCATCACATCAAGACTCTTCCCACAATATCCCATTAGCTCCAATGTAAATAATTTTACAGATCAAAAAAAGAAGTTTCTATGAATTCTCTAGGGCAATGAGAATACTTTAAGACTAGATATACATTAAACAAAATCGCAATGCATAAACAAAAACTTGAAATAATGCATTAATAAAATACTTAAAAGGACAATTTAAACAGATAGTTACGAGATTTTTCTAATTCACAGACCAGCCACCCTAGACAAAACATTTGTTTGTTTACAAAGCTCTTCAGAGTGTTACTTCAAAGTTTAAGACCTAGTATACTCATAGTTGGCTTCCCAGGTGGCTCAGACGTAAAGCGTCTGTCTGAAATGTAGCAGACCCAGGTTCAACCCCTGGGTCAGGAAGATCCCCTGGAGAAGGAAACAGCAACCCACTCCAGTACTGTTGTCTGGAAAATTCCAAGGATGGAGGAACCTGATGGGCTACAGTCCATGGGGTTGCAAAGAGTCAGACACGACTGAGCGACTTCACTTCACGTTCATAGTAATTTCTCCTTCAATATTTTAAAAATAAAATCATGATACAACTACCAAAAAAAAGCAAATTTAAATTTATTTTGCTAGAGAAAATATTCTTTGACTAGAATGTTTTAAAATACTTACTAGTTCTTCCTTCTTCCTGAATCCAGTAAAACATAGTACTAGATTCATCATGCTGGTACAATAGAGTGGGCGACATGAAAATGGCAAAGGCTGAAGGATACAATTTTAAATCTGTTAGCTTCTCTACAGCAAAAATAGAACACATCTTTCTAAACTAAACATATTTCCCTCTCTTGCCATTTAACATTCCCAACCCCAAAATATACTTGCATCTTTCAATATGTAACAAATTGCAAGGACCAATTTAATTTCACAATAAAAATTTCCCAAGATTTCCCATATTATATTTGATACACATACTCTAAACACACTTTACTACTGCCAAGTAAAATATAAATATCCATACCCAAACCTTTATTCCCAAAATGTACTTTGATACATGAGGTATTGTCTATAATAAAAGATTTCCATATACCACTGTAAATGCTTCAAGTTAAAGTTAAAAGAGGTCAAAAATATTTTTCTAATAAATACTGATCATACATATACTTGAACCAAATATGATTCCAACTTTTCAGCTAAAAAATGGAGACAGTAAATAATTTAACAAATCATTTTATCTATCTATATATGAAAGAGAATGCTTAAAAACAGATATAAATTTAATTCCCACTATTAGGCAGAAATATACTTTTCCATAATCTTGGCCTTTAAAATGTTTATGTGTTTTTTGAAAACAACACTTCTGAATCAAAACAGAGAATTAAAAGATTATCATGTGCTCATTATTAGTATCTATAATAAAAGAAGCACAAAGACCCAAGCAGTTTAAAGTTAATAAGGCAAGCTTAAGAATGCCAAAACAGAGCAATAAAATAAGTATTAACTCTACTACAACTTAACTGAAATGCTATTCAAAAACAAAAAGCTAAAGTAATTTCCCTAATTTATCAGTAGAAACTGATAAAAATGCAATTGTGGTAGCTGTTCCATGTAGAGGAAAATTAAAGTTTATGTATTTATATATACACACCATTGGTACCCAGGTTTAAAGCAAATTATTTCTTTCCAAGATACTGCAGGTATTAAGATTTTGTATATACATATGATATTCCTTGGGCTTCCCAGGTGGTGCTAGTGGTAAAGAACCTGCCTGCCAATGCAGGAGATCTAAGAGACGGGAGTTTGATCCCTGGGTCGGGTTCATTCCTTGGGTTGGAAAGACCCCCTGAAGGAGGGCGTGGCAACCCACTCCAGTGTTCCTGCCTGGAGAATCCCATGGCCTGGCGGGTCAAAGTCCTAGGGTTGCAAACAACTGAAGCGACTTAACACACATGCACACACATATTATTTATGATTAAAGGACTTTTGAGTTCTTAGTAGGGAGTACTACAGAGTAGTCACTACTATTTCTATTCTAAATATTTTATATTCTCAACAATTAGTGAGATTTTTCTGCATAAAAATTCATTAATAAAATTTTATTAACCTTGAAAAGTTATAATAAGCATATATTCTTTCTTACCTCTCCATTTTCTGCACAGTTTAATACAACTGGTGGTCCAATAACTCTACAATCAGCCTTGTATAACTCATTAAAGGCAGAATCCTGGAAGTCCATGACTATGAATACATTTTCAAATTCTGGAGAATCCAAACTTTTAAATTCTTCAACTGATTCCATCTTTACAAATGGCACTTTAATTTCCTTGATTTTTTCCATGGAGTTATTAAGAAATAAAATTTATATTATAAAATCAATTATAAATCTCTCTAAATAAGACCCCCAAATCAACTCAGTATCAACATTTTTATTTGTGTATTTGTAGAAATGTAGAAACTTAAGTTTTAAATCATACAATGAGCATTATACTTAATAGTGAACAGTCATATTTCTTTAGTTATTTATATAAACATATCTCTACATTAAGATTTTAAATTTTGAAAATTATTATAAAGGCATAAGTTTCTGACATGACTTAGTAGTCATTATAAAGCATCTAGTATGGATATAAAAATAGGGATGATGAATTTTTTAAGTACATAGATTTTGATAGTAGCATGCCTTAGAAAGATATCCACAGTTGCTTTTAATTCTGACTAAGAAAATGATGCCATACGCATAGTTCTTCCTCTACAAATTATAGTCAGAAAAAAAGGAAAAAAATACTATGACATGTAACATCTACAAAAAGTTCAGTTTATATGAGGGAAATAAGAGAAAGATAAGAAAATATGTCAGCAACTACAACATTGTATACACAGGATACAAAAAGCCAACTGTGTAATGTACATCCCTGAAAAAGAATGAAGATAGTTAAGTATCTACATGACTTGTGTTAAAAAAACAGAACCATTTAAAAGAAAATTCAAATGGGTGAGTCAATATTTGGGCTTTACTTTCCAGGCTGGTGTAAAGGGATGAATTGTGTATCCCGAAACTCATGTTGAAGTCCTAAACCCCTGAACCTCAGAATGTAACTATTTCAAATAAAGGCCTTTCAAGATGTAATAAAGGTTAAATGAAGTCACATGGGTGGATTCTAATTAGACTGGATTAGTGGTGGATAGGTGTCCTTATAAGAGAAGGAAATCTGGACATACAAAAGAGATATGCATGCACAGAAGATAAGGCATGTGAAGATAAAGCAAGAAGATGGCAGTCATCAACAAGCCAAGGAGAAAGGCCTCAACAGAAATTAAACCTGCTGGCACCTTGGTCTTGGACTTTAGCCTCCAGGAAAGTGAGAAAACATATTTCTATTGTTTGAGCCACCTAGCATATATTATTATGGAAACCCTCACAATCTAGTATTAGCTGGTATAGGGAATTAGAAATATTTCATACAGTGAGGTAAATTCCCTGATGACTGTCAAATATTGGCTTGCAACTGTGGAAGTAAAGCAAGAATTTAGAATAAAATTATTCAGAAGAAAGTAGAGTTTAAAGTATTAGATCTTCACAAATACATAAGTGAAATGTCATTTAAATTTAACAATGCCAAATTACTCTATAAGGATTTCATTATTTATAGAACATTATAGTTTGAGGTTTCAGAAACATCCAAATTTTAAAATAAATGTCATAGTTTTCATTAATCTAGCTTCAGAGTGCTCAAAGTATACCTCGTGTCTACTTTGGCCCAATCACCATTAAGTGGACTACAGAATACAATCAAAGGAAGTGCAGCATGCCACATGCAATGAAATGCTTGACCTACCATATTAACAATACTTTTTATTAATTTTTCATCCGATTTTCCAGGACAACTTTCTTTTATCTTTATAACAGGGACTTCCATTATTTTAATAGTCTGTGGAAAAGAGACTTAATTATGAGATTAAGAAAACTATAAATTTATTTATGCACCGATGGAAGGAAAATAGTCTCTTTCAAAAAAAATAAAAAGCTAAATCTCCATACCTTTAAGGCTTTTATAAGTTCTTCTTGTTTTCCAGCTTCTTGAACTAGTATGACTCTTGTTTCAATCTGAGGCATTTCTTCTATTAAAATTAAAAATGTTTAAGTAAAACACTTTTATTATTCACTAACATTGAAATCAGTAGTCTCCAACCCCTTTTTTGGCTGTATCTGTAATGTTTTTCATCTTTAAGATAATAACATTCCTCGAAATTAAAATGACTTAATTCCTAGCTTTTTAAAAAAATCTGATCAGGTATCATTTCAGAAGAAAAACATACTGTATTATAAACAAAGTATTCAAACATTAGCACTCTTCATAACCAAAGAAAGCTTTCACTAACTTGCAGAGTCATCCTCTTAAATAGCACATACAACTTCAGGAAAGATAGGTTTACATAGTGGAAAGGGAAGAAGTGGCTCTTCACCTGACTAGTCCTAACTGAATATATTCTAGCTAACAATATTGCAGCTAGATTGCCCTCACAAACAGCAAAAGCAATATCCAACAAGACGCCCTCTCCTTCGAAGTTGGGAAATGCCAAACAACAATAAAAAAATTTAGTGTAATGGGTTTTTGTTAACAAATTTTTACTGAATGCCTGTACCCTAACTTAATAATATTACAGTCAAATCATAAGAAAATCGCTAGTTTAGGATTAAAAGAGTGATTTGGCATTTTAAAGCAGGTAACATGTTTACCTTCAACACATGAAGTAGATCCAATAAATAAGTTGTCCTTAGAAGTTTCAGCAACTTTAGAATCAAAAATGGAAGTGTCTGCCAAGCTTGTACTGCCAGTAGTGGATGTTAATGCACTATTATCAGCCATTGTTTGTTCTCTTCTATGATGGCTGAAAAAAAAATTTAAATAAAATTACAAAAAATGAACATAATTGTTAGGCAAAAACAAGCATTAATACCTACAACTTACAAGAAATATCATTGCCCATTTTTTGAAAAATACTGAACCAAAGGAAGTCACTCAACTTCTCTGAGGCTGTTTGCTCTTTTTTATCTGTAAAATAAAGATACTCATGCCTGATTCATAGAGATATACTAAAATAACAATGTACCAAAAGTACCTTATATGTATAAAAGTACAAAAGTACAGGATATTACCAGACAGTCAAAAAGTACTCAAAATGTACTCATAAATACTATGCTACCTCCCCCTCCATACCTTTGCCCTTATCCAAACTATTTCTCTTCCTATTTTCATTTATCATGTCACCATCATCCCCTAAATAAATCCCAGTCAAAAACCTGATCCATCCTTACTCTTTCATCTACCTCATTTGCCCTCCCCTAAATGGTGTTGGAGAAGACTTTTGAGAGGCCCTTGGACTGCAAGGAGATCCAACCAGTCCATCCTAAAGGAGATCAGTCCTGAGTGCTCATTGGAAGGACTGATGCTGAAGCTGAAACTCCAGTACTTTGGCCACCTCATGCGAAGACTTGACTCATTGGAAAAGACTCTGATGCTGGGAGGGATTGGGGGCAGGAGGAGAAGGGGACGACAGAAGATGAGATGGCTGGATGGCATCACTGACTCGATGGACATGAGTTTGAGTAAACTCCGAGAGCTGGTGATGGACAGGGAGGCCTGGCGTGCTGCGATTCATGGGGTTATAAACAGTCAGACATGAGTGAGCGGCTGAACTAAACTGAACTGAAATTGCTATCAATCCCTCAAGCATCTCTGTATCTCTGGGATCTGGCCAGTCTTTTTGTGGCCAATGCCACAATGCCCACTTGATGAAAATCAACAGTTCCAGACAACTGTCTCTATCACCAGTTTCTTCAGAGGTCACGATCCACATGGTTTTCAGGGTATGGTTCTAAAAATAAATGTGACCATGTTACTTCCCTGCTTCAAACTTGCATGACAAGGCCTCTTTAGACAATCAAGTTCATATTCACCATCCAGTTTACACTTTCGTCCTAGTCCACCTATTTAACCTCACCTCCTCTATTTCCCCAAGTCCACATGGACTGTACTGCTCCAGCCATAAGGGATTTCCCAGAATTCTGCCAACAATTTACTTCACACCTACTTGCATTTAATAGGGCTCAGTTCTTCTCCTAGCATGTCTTTCAACCCATCACACCACTTGACTTATCTTCTGTAGATTTCTCCAAACTTCTCAGGTATAACTGGACTGCTCCCTTATCTGTATTTTCATATTACTTTACAAAAGTTTCTCCTCTAAAAGATTTCACGAGACAATTAACAAGTGTCATTGTGATCCTGGACTATGAAAGAAAAATTCTTTCTTTTTAAATTTCCAGGACTTAAAGAGTTGAAACATTAAGCAAACCGGGAATAAAGAAAAAGCTGAATAGACCTTCATCAATTCAAACTGGAGTTTTTAATGTAAGTTTATTGCCTTGAGGTAAATTTCCAGAATATTGGGCAAATACAAAGAAGAGGCCCCATCTTATCTAGAGGTGCATACCTTTCCTACATTTTCAGAATAAAAAAATATACAAATAACTTTCACTATATTTTTAACAAAGTAATGTTTAAAGTATTATTAGCCTCATTTCTGCAAAGTGCTATCAAATAGTGTGACAAGATACACATTAATAGTAATAGACTTAAGCCTGATTATTAAGTGCACTAACTTATATTAGTTGCTTCAAAGTCAAGCAACTCAGCTTCCAGTTTCAACTCTGCACTTAGTAGGTTATGCCTCAGTTTCCACACCAGGAAAAGGTTAACAGTACAACTCAAATCCAGTTGTGATAAACTTAATAGATGATGTCTTTACAAGAGTGACAATTATTCATTCTCATGATGCAGGGCAACACTGAAGGCAGGAGGAGAAGGGGGGACAACAGAGGATGAGATGGTTGGATGGCATCACTGACTCAATGGACATGAGTTTGAGCAAGCTCTGGGAGCTGGTGATGGACAGGGAAGCCTGGTATGCTGCAGTCTATGGGGTTACAAACAGTCAGACACGACTGAGTGACTGAACTGAACTGAATTGAACTTTCACAAATAAAAATACAGGACACCCAGTCAAAGCTGAATCATAGATGAACAACAAACAATGGTTTAGTCCAAGTATGTCCCAAGTGTGAGCTTACCAAACTGAGGCTACAGGCAATATCAGGCAAAGAGCAAAGCTTTAACTGCCAAGGAGAGGAATGAAGGAAAAAGAATGTGGAAAGGGTGGTGCAGATGTGGGATTCACACCCATTAAAGATAAAACTGGAAATACATAAAAGATACAGGTTGACCAGAATAAGACGCAAAAGCCTTCCGGGTGAAATAACAGCTCAGGCAAAATCGCAGCATTGGAAATTAGCAAGACAAGGACAAAGAATAGAAAGCAGTCCACTTAGAAAGCAGCAGCAGACAGAGGAGGAGAGCTGTGCTTGCAAGTACTGTCAGCAGCTGGCTGACGCTCCCCTTGGAGCATCCTTCCTCCCAACCTCTAACTCTTTTGAGTATTAACTATCTATGTCCCAGGGTCAAATTCCTCCTCCTTTCCCTGGTCTTCCAAGCAGGAACTTCTCCTTTCAAACTGCACTTTTTGGACACTGTTCTCAACTGGAATTACTCATGGTATCTGTGCCATGCACGATTCATGCACAGCAGTTTCTCCATAAATGCCCTTTACTGAATGCTGGGGAGGTTAAATTTTCTGGGGATGATAAATGTGGAGTCCATGGTCCTGAACACAAGGTGGGCTAAGTATGCCAAGGGTCTGAGCTATGGGGTCTCTGGGAAGATAGCTGGGCTGTGCCTGACAAACCAAAGCAGTGACCACCAAGGAGGGAGTGCTCCNAATAACCTCAGATATGCAGATGACACCACCCTTATGGCAGAAAGTGAAGAGGAACTAAAGAGCCTCTTGATGAAAGTGAAAGAGGAGAGTGAAAAAGTTGGCTTAAAGCTCAACATTCAGAAAACTAAGATCATGGCATGTGGTCCCGTCACTTCATGGCAAATAGATGGGGAAACAGTGGAAAACAGCTTTAACATTTAGAAAAAAGAGGCATGCTAAAGTTACCACGTATCAACAATCTGATTACAAAGTGAAAAGCACTAATAATTTTTTCACATTCATGTATTCTGTAAGCTTTTAAGATAAACACAAAAAAAATCAGTGTTCATAAACCCATACAGATTACTTTTCATCTGAGAACATACTCAAAGAGTTTCTAACTAAATACAACATATGTCTCTTTCCATAACAAAGATAAAATTTTGTCATTTAAACAAATTTCCTTTTATTTTTTTAGGCAATCATCTTTCAGGGTGGAGGAGCTAAATGCCATACTGGACATGTTGGTGGTGTTATTGACAATAATACTGTTCACATTACATAATACTGTCATTAAGAAATAACTTTTATTTAACCAATTTGTGGGACTGTTCTAAAACCTTTTACTTGCATTCATTTAATCTTTGCAACAATCCTGAGGGGCAGGTACTATTATATTCATTTTACAGATAAAGAAACCAAGAGCAGAGAGATAAACTTCCCCCAGGGCATACAGTTGGCAAAACAAACATTCAATTCCGAGCTGATTTCAGAGGCTGCGCTTTTAACTCTTAAACCATACCCATCTGTACGCGGGGTGGAGCGCCGGAAAGGGCTGGCGTTTTACATTAAATACTAAAAACTAAAGATGCCAGGAAGAATCCAAGAGTGAAACCAAGGAATCTGAGATAAGCCCCCAAAGGCCGCAGCTGCCGGCCCCCAGATCCGCAGAGCCCGTTGTGGCTTACCAACACCCCCTTTCCGATAACTCCCCCCTTTGCGCAGAAACTCTTTCGGAAAAAATATCCAAGCCGGCAAGCGATGACGAAGCATAGCAGCCAGGAGGACCTCCAGTTCCCACTCCGCAACCCGGCCCCGCTGTTGGGAAGCCGGCGGGGTGGTTTCCCGAGCCGGGAAGCCGGGGCTGGGCGCTCCGGAATTCGCGGTCACCGGGGCGGGGCCGCGGGACACAAGCACAGCTGCCCATTGCTCCGGGGACGCCGGCCCCAATCCCCACCTCCGCCACGCGCACCCACAGAGCCCTCACCACTCTCAGAGGACGCCCTGGAAGTTCCACCTTTTCAAGCACAGGTCCTGCTCACCGTTACCGCCATTCCTCGCCGGCCGCGGCCACAGCCAAAGCCAATTCAAAAAGTGAGTCGCTCTCTCTAAAAGCCATGCCGATTGGCGCGTGATGTCAACCTCCTTCCCATTTGCTGGAGTCTCCAGAGGGGCGGTGATTGGCCGCCGCGCTCCTCCCTGCAGGCGCTGACGGATTGGTCGTGCGTGTGTTTCAAATAGACCCAACGGCTCCGACGTCAGAACGTCACGAATTTGTAGAGAAGCGCCGGGATGCGACCAGGAGGTGGCGATAGAGGCTCCTGGGTTTCTGTGGGCGTGATTAGCAGGTGTGTCTTGAGGCTACCGCTTGTTTACCCAGTAAATATCCCGTTTCCTAGGGAGAGGTTGAGTGGATTTTCCGTCCCCTCAGCGTTTTTGTTTTTTTTTTAATGGATTACGCTCCGCCAGATACCTTAAATGTAACCTGTGCGTTGACAGATGAATTTTTCCTCAGTGGTTCCTGTGAGTTGTAAGATTTTTTTGCCTGTATGCTTCCGGCTTCTGGAATTTAAACGTGGGTTAAGGGGTTTAGAGTTTGGTTAGTTGTCTTGGTGTCCAGGGCATGGGAACTTGGGATCTCTCCAGCTGGACTTTCAGAAGCCGCTTTTTTATATCCTGACGTATGTAAAGCACAGTGCTCTGGGCTAGGGAATTTCAAGCGTGATTAGAATAAATTCTTAGTGTTTCTAGCACTTTCGAAAATATATAAACTCGCATTTGAAGAAATGTAAAAATATGGCACGAGATTCTAGAATTTTCTGAAGCCAAAGTAAATTGTTTCCTGCTGCACCCCCTCTTCCTCGAGGTCTTTTGTTGCTTTCCTCTGAAGTCTAGCCAAGAATTTATCATTTTTCCTATAATTCCTATTGCTATAAAGAAAATCTTATTTTCTTTGTTTTCTATTAATAAATATAATGCTCTGTGCCACAGTGTCTTAAAAAAACACTCCTCCCAAAGGTGAGTTTTGCGTAGTTTCAACATATTTGCTGGTTAAATAAAGGCAGAAAGGAGAATCCGTTGCTAGAATATTAAATTTGGACAAGAGAAGGAAAACATCCTTTGTAATGGAACACTTCCTAACATCGCAAACAGATCCTCAGTATTTAGAATTTTTCCTAATTTTGTCAGGCCACTTTAGAATGCCTGAAAAGCATGTAATGCATTCCACAAAATGAGTGAAGCAGTGTGGTAATTACTGGTTTCCTTCTTCATAACTGAAAAATATTTACCTTCAGCCCTCCACTTAATGCCATAATAACCGTTACAGCTAGGGCTTCCCTGGAGGCTCAGTGGTAAAGCCTCCACCTGCAGTGTAGGAGACGCAAGAGACACAAGTCCAACCCCCTGTCTGGAAGATTCTCTCCTTCTCTCTCTCTCTCTCCAGGGAGAGAATGAAATGGCAACCCCTGAAGAATCCCATGGATTGAGGAACTTGGGGGGCTATAGTCCTTGGGGTCGCAAAGAGTTGGGCATGATTTGAGCATGCATGTGAAGTTTAGGGCAAAAGCAAAGAAAAACAGTCCCTGAAATTTCACACCCACACACACACAGCTATTTCACTGTGGAATGTACTTTTGTATTTAAACTAGGGTGTGCCCAGCATTCCAGAAAGCCTCCAGACTGAAAAGATATTAAGCTAGTGAGGAAAGAGTCGAACACAGCTGAGCGAGCACACACACAGTGAAGAGAGCATCTTATTATCTCTGTGTATTGCTTCCTGTTAGGCTTTGTACACAAAGTTATTGATTTCCTACAATGTATCACCACATAAATTGTATGATAACCTAAGAAAAGTTATACTTGATTTTTTTGGCCCCACGACATGTGGAATCTTAGTTACCCAGTCAGGGACTGAACCCATACCCCTTGTATTGGAAGTATAGTCTTAACCACTAGACTGCCAGAGAAATCTCTGTATTTGATTCCTTTTAAGGGATATATGGCAGTTTGACTAGCAAACAGGCACTATGATGTTCTAATATTTCCTAACCTTGTGACATCCTTTTCATCTCCTAGGCACATAACTGCAGGCAAATAACTGAACTTTCTATGCCTCAGTTTGAGTTTTTATAAAAGGGCAATTACCTCATTACTGTTGTGAGGATTAAAATTTGATATGTATAGTTAAAACATAGTCTTAGCAACCAAACAACAACAACAAAGCATATAATAAACATTCAATAGATGTTAACTGTTACTGTTATTTTTACTGTTACTCTGGCTGCTGCTGCTGGTGCTATTACCACTACCGTTAACTCAGCTGCAGCCCTATAATTACCTGATGGGACTGATGTTTTCTACACTACCTTCTCAACTCTAACCATGGGAGCAATGGCTCCTGTGTTTCTGTTCCCTTTGCCCCAGCATTTCCCCAGCCACAAATCCTACCACCTACCGGACCAAGCTTGTTGTAGCAAAGACCTCCATCACATTCTTTTCCTACCAGAGAGAGGACAGTCCTTCCACACCAAACCTGATCTCTCTTCTCTTTTAAGGGAAAGCTTGCAGTGCTCATGATGTCTTCTCTTGTCTGGAAGATAAGGCCATCTTGCTGTTGGCCTTGGCCAGGCTTCTGTCCTCTTCCAAGGCAGGTCCCAGCCAAGACTTTTTATGTGAAATGTGAGTCTGTTCACCTTCACTGGAAATGTAGTTATTGAATGCATATATCAAGGGGACAAAACTGTTTACAGTCCAGGATAGATAGATCAAAATAAGAACTTCCTTGAAAGAATAGACCATTTAAAAAATTCTTATGTCATTCACAAGATGCTGAATGAACAGGTTTCAAACAAAAATACTGCAAAAATTGAATTAAATTTAAGTACTTAGTATATTAAAGTGTGTGACATTTTCATCAAGCAATAAGATAATTTCTGAGGTGGGGAAATGAAATGTAGAAGGTAGAACTTCTGAAATTCTTCCTTTGGAGGATCAGCTTCCCCCCTCCATCTCTGAATTAAGTGGCACACTGGACCATCTTTCCTAACTTAATCTTATACGTTTTTACTTCAGTTTATCCCCTCCTCTTTGTGTATAGTTTCTTTCTTTCTTTACTCCCTCCCTTGTCCATCTCCATCTTCTTTTTTCATCAGTACTCCTTCAGGGCAGCAGGAAATGGGGAGTTAGAAAAGTTAGTTTAGAATTATGGAATATCTTTCTCCACCCTATACCCCCCAACACACATTCACAAATATGCACATTGCCCATGCCATCACTCTTCAAATCAGAATGAACAAGATTTCTCATAGCTTTGTGGTTTGTTCTTATCTGCTAATAAGAACTAGTATATCTAAAAGAATTATTAAATTTGTTGCAATAAATGGGCAATATTCGTTGTGATGAACTTTGTTTCTATTACCTAAAGGTGTGATGAAATATGTTACAATTTCTAGGTTTTATTTTTAAGTATGAAATGTTATCAACCAATAATACTATTTTATAGTAAATTTTAATATTTCATCATAGGATTAAATGTTTTACCATAACTAGATATTGTAATGGCACACAGAACTCATGTAATTGTTTTTCTCCTGTATTGTCATACTTTTCCCCTCAAAACATTTATGACATACATAGCTATATATAAAGCCACAGCAGGTACAGAAACAAAGATTCAGTTTCTCTAAGAATTTATCATTTAAGATTTTTGTTTCAAAATCTTTAATGAGTAACCATGGAATTCTGTACTTTCTTGAAATACAGTCATTAACATTTTCCAATTAAAATGTCATATTTCCAAGTTGGTTTTAATATAGCATCTTCTAAACTGTCATCTCTGCCTGTGAAACAAGCTTTAGAAATTATAATCACTGTGATACAGAAGAAGTTACTTTATACACCTCAATAATCAGTAATTAGGATATGAATCATTGCTTTATTTTTATGAATCATTAGGCTATAAATCACTTGAATAGATTCGCAAGACTATACAAATTTACCACTTAAAGTTTCACTTGAACAAATAGAATTAGCTTTCCTTGATGAAGCAGGCAGTTTCTAAATATGATGAGGCCATTTTTTCAATTATGTAATTTGATTAGTAAAATTTTAGTGGAAAAAGAAATCTCAGTTCACTAGTCTCATTCTCTCTTTTACAAATGAATATTACGAAGGGCCACCACATAAAGCTTATATTCCTTTACCAAGGTCAGGTAACTAGTTAATGCCAAAACCAATATAAAAAATTTTATTTCTATTAATCTATTTTGTCTTTTATTAAATTAAAGATACTAATAATACTAATTTATATTTCACATTAAACTTAAAAGTTGTTGTTTAGTCGCTAAGTTGTATCTGACTCCTTTGTGACGCTATGGACTAGAGCTCACCACACTCCTCTGTCCATGGGATTTCCCAAGCAAGAGTGCTGGAGTGGGGTGCCATTCCCTACTCCAGGGGATCTTCCTGACCCAGGGATCAAACCTGCATCTCCCACACTGTCAGGTGGATTCTTTGCCACTGAGCCACCTGGGTAGCCCAAACTTAAAAATACCAATATATTTATTCATACTGCTTGTATATTTTATATTTGAATACATTAAGATGCTCTCAGTCCCATAAGAGCCTTGTTAGTCATGTTCACCAATGTATTGATCTCTAGCACCTAGCAACAGTTCCTGGCACATAGGATGTTCTCAAAAGTTATCGCATGAATAGCATTGTAATTGATCCCCAAGAGTCCATATTGCCTTCCTCTAATTAATTATCCAGTCTGCATTCAGAGTGACATTATGCAAATCCAAACTCATCATATCACTACCTCCTTAAAACCCTTCAGTCCTACTAGGCCTACATGACCTGACCTCTACTCATTTCCAGCTTCATCTTATACCATGCTCACTTTCTTCCTTCTTGAGTTGTATTCCTGCCTTTCTTCTCAAAGATTTTTGCATCTACTCTTCTCTCTACCAATTCCATTAATCCTCATTCTTTTAACTTAGAGTAGGCGACTTCTACTCATCCTTTTAGCATTTGTTCACTTACTATTCCCTGGAAGGTCTTTTCTCACTACCCACACCATCAGAAGCCTCATTATACAGCACCCAGCACCATGACTGTCTCTTTTGTGATACTTATCAAAGAAGTGATTATTGGATTTATGTCTGTCTCCTCCAGTATCTAATCTACATCAAAGGGAAAATGTCTTTTT